ATATGGAAAACGCATCACTTAGTTTTTCGTATAACAAAATGATCCTGTAAACATATCTTATTTATTTTGCTTCTTATTTTGAACAATATTCAAATGGGAACACATCAATAACAACACATTTGTACACTTATGGATGTTTAATCTGTAATCAACGGTACAAAGTCAGAGGGGTAAAAACCAAAAGTACGACACAGATGTCAGTAGCGCGCGTTTCCTCCACGAGCTCTTACGCACGCTGTGCAGCGACGTCGCATGGAATTTACCAATGTTTGAAAGAAGGCCTGAGGAAAATTGTTCCATTCTTGGACAAGAGCAGCTTCTAAAGCAGCAATGGTGTGCATCTGTGGTCTCCGATAGGGCGGTCCGGTGATGAAATGTGAAGCCTCCCCACACCATTACATTTCCCCCACCCCATCGATTCGTTTCGAAGACGCAGCAGTCTGCAAGACGTTTCCCAAGACGTCTCCACACACGTTGACGGCCATCAGCGTGATAAAGATGAAAGCGACTCTCATCACCGAAGAGCACACTTTGCCAGTCTACTCTTCTCCATGTCTGGTGTCCTTGAGCCCATATCAAACGCCGCTGACGATGATGATCCCTGAGGATAGCTCCAACATAAGGTCGTCGTGCACGGAGTTCTACTTCTCTTAGACGACGTCTTACGGTGTTGGCACTTACTCGTCCTTGTCTTCCGACGACTGCTTCACCTGTTCGAGTAGCTGGGCGGAATCTGTCACGCAGATGAGTGACCCGGATGTAGCGGTCTTGAGTTGTAACGCGTTGTGGACCAGGACGTTATCGGTCACGTGTTGATCCAGTAACTCGAACACGTTCCATCAACCTTACAATAGTGGACTGATGACAATTGAAGTGTCTGGCAATAGCACGTGTAGACATGCCAGCCCTGGATATTCCCATGGCTTCATTCCGTTGATTTTCAGTAAGTCTCGGCATCTCTAGCTCGATTCCTTCACACGTCCAACAACAAATTACGACAGATTGACGTTTCACAGTTCATGTACTGCACATTAAGTTGAAAACATGCTTTTAAAGGGCTCACACACAATGCTGCACGTGAATATTGGGTTTTTCATGTGCATCTCGTGCAATTTTTTTTGTGCACACGGGCCGATACTTTTTGCGTTTGGGAGCATTGTGTGAAAAAATAGTTCATAGTATTGCATAATATTATACATACAAAACTACCTAGTAATAAAATATTTGGGAAAAAAAGTAATGCGTTTTCCATGGCGCTCAGTATATAAACATAAATTGTGTCTATTTCATGTTTCGATGGAATTTAATTAAATTGGCCGTTTAGATACTGCTTTTGCAATTTTTATACATACAACTGAGTGTCAATTACATAAAATTTCATGAAATATATTAAATATAATATCGTTTATTATATAAAAACAGGAACAGCATATTTGTAATTAATAATTTTCAAAGATCTAAAATACAATTATTGATTTCGCTCCGCTTTTAACTTGGCTGTTTTTCATTTCTCACATCTCTTTGTTGGAAATATTGTGTGAACATATGAAACTGCAACAAAGAATGTAACAAACTCTTTATGCAATGAATGTCATTTCTAGTCAAGACTTTGCCTTGTGGTTTTTTTCTCTACACAATCGCCAAATAATATTATGCTGTCCTCGATACGCTCGACGAGACTTTGGTTTGGCTGAACCCCGCCCCAAACCCTTTTAAAAAATCATGTATCCATCTTTGTTAACAGCCTCGTTCTGGACAAAATAACTCGTTCCAAAAACATGGCAATTTAAACAAAAAATACGTTTTGGAACTCCAGACAAACGTGGCATTTTGTTTTTACCACGACAACGTGGCAAAATTGCCAGGCTTGGACAAAATTTCCGAACGAGGCATTCTGGGGTTTATAGTGTAATTTGAAACCAACAATTAGTTAAATATATAATATAATGCTATGAGGTTTAACGTCCTACTGCTCTGCTCCGATTGGGCTAATGAAGATGGGCATACGCCATACAGTGTGCTATGGCCTAGTCTTATATCGAATTCCAACTGCCAGGGGATACACGGGACCTCCGAATGACTTGACAGCTGTCCTTGCCAGGCCCTTGTCCTGCACCACTGACAAGGGGAAACCACGTCGGAAAATTCTGATGAACTTGTACAATATTATGTAGGAATCTCTAATAGTAATAGTCCAAAAATGATTCAGTTCCGTTAAGTTTTTACAAAGATATGTGGATCAATTGAAGTTTTGTCGACCTATGCAAGCCTGCCGTCATGTTTTAAATCCGGGTGAATCCAAGTCGAAAGATTATATAACGTTTGTATTTTGATTTTGTTTCCTTAATTTAAACATACATTATGTAAGATTTAGATAAAGGACTAGCCATCCTTGCTATAATAGTTCGAAAGTAGAGGATGTAAAATAAATAATTTGAAAATTTCATTCAAATTACTCTATTGCAAGCGAAGATATTAGCCTTTGAAGGTTTGACAGACGTGCAACAATTTCAACCAAGGTACTGGTTGATCGGTGCTAAGTCTCGGTCCTCCACATTTGATTAAATCAAAGTATCGCTGAACCATTCTAATCTATTTAATATCGGAGAAATCTGATGCCATCGAGGGTTGATTAAGGCCTGGATCAGTTTATTAATGTCTAATTAATACTTTAGAAAACATTCCAGGCCTAAAGAAAGACCTGCAATAGGCAGATTTAGCTTTTGCATAATGCATGTTTAATTAAATGTTAAATAATCAATCTGAGTGCATGTTAACATGCGGATGAATATAAAGTAGTGAGAAATTTGATATTTTAGCGACAGATGCCAATGGTCCGAACTCGATTATATTTGCGAATAAATCTGCTTAATTTTGTGTTAAAAGGTCTTAAAATCCTCTAGAGCCTACCTTAGCACAGAGCAATTAACTCAATATACGTGATACATTTTCTTACAAGTTAAACCTGCGTCCCAAGCTGTATTATACGGTGTCTGGATAAAACCGGACTTTCATTTTATATGTACAGACATCTTTATGGATAGCATTCTCTAGGTTTATTAACTCCAACGTTTCAGTGCGGATACTCTCCAACAGGCCCGTAGCCAGCGGGGGGGAGGGGGGCAATGCCCCCCTGATAAAATGTTTTGCCGCCCCGCCAGCCCCCCAAAACAATTTGTCGACCATAGCTCTAAAATACCTACTATAGACTGTCCTGGGTGTCCCCCCCCCCCTAAAAACAAGCTGGCTACGGGCCTGTGTAACAGAAGGTTATATACAAACGGATAACAATAAACTAATTAACAATTTGAAGCCGACGCCATTTAAAGTCAAACCTCATACCTAAGTAAACTACCCTAACCCTAACCCAATGAGAAACCCTTAAACGGAATGAAATTTACAAATTAAATTCATGCTAAAAACAACAATTGATAATAATAAACCCTTAATCTCCATATTACGAATAGAGATTAAAAACAACCATGACGTGAATAAGAAACCATATATTACTGATATATACCATTAATCTACAACTCCTATTAAACATCAATATATAACCAATCATATTGTAAAAATCTAGGACTCTATCAATTTATGCAGAATTAAAACCATAATAAAAAAGAAAGAAATCATAAATGACTCTGATTAAAATAAATATTATTAAAGAATTAAAACAAAAATAAAAATTAATGGGGGGGGGGCGGTGATAAGAGACATCTTAAACACATATACTAGATGAAATTTACCTCTTTGTTTATCAAGTACAGCACGTGGGTCATGGACTGTAAAGGAAAGGTAATAGATATCAGGTCACCCAATAACAAAATTGAAACGAAATCTTAAATGGGTTATGTGTCCGGATAAGCGATTTTGACGTTTTTGAGCTGAAATTTTCCCACAAGGTTAATACGCCACTCCTCTATATTTTGACGCTTAAATTTCATACGTACACAGACTTTTATTTCTGAGAATTTGCAAGATTTGTATTTGGAGATTTGTTGTTCGAGATTTGGTTTTCGTTGTATATATATGTCTATGATGAAATGTAAATTTACGCTATTTGTTTTATTTTCTAAAGTAAATTTTATCTTTATATTCAAATACAATAAAATTAAACAAAAATACAATTTACAATTTAAGAATTAAGTTTGGTGTTGCGATGGTGATTCCACGCATATAATTTTAAAATAGAACAATTCAAACTGCCTTTAAGAAAACCATCAGAGTGTATCAATTTGACTGAAATTTTCAGCAAATTCCCTTTACATTATCTAGTTTTTAACTATTATAGTGAAAACTGCCAGCTCTTTATTTAATCTCCCATAATGTATCATTAAACATAATATTTAAGATATATGCTTATACTAAGAATAAAGACAATGAAAAATAAACTCGCATTTAAGTTTTAAAACTTTAGTTGGACTCCAACAAAAAAAAAATGAATGAATGGCCAAACATATCCCTGTTTGTGATGTGGTGTATTTACGTTGATATCAAACTGGTGTGCTCAATGACGTGAACAGAATGGTCAAAACGTTGTTAGTGCTAAATGATAAGGCCAGCTCAATTTTTCGTCATAGGTCACGAGATGTAAACAGGGTTAGTGCTAATCCCAACGCTAACCCTAACCCTGGACCTCTAGAGCTCCAATGCTTACCCTAATCCTAACCTACAATCTTGCCAATAATCGCCTTATTTACATCTCAACAACCTTGACAAAAACTGAGCTAGCCTTAACAAATATATTTAGCTGTCAAAACGTAATAGAAAGGGCAATTAAAGCGAAAATGCAAACTAAGTACGAAATAAATTTAGGGTGTCGTATCATTTCGCGGAATTTCAGGATCTTTTGACCCGGGTTTTTTCTTGTTTTTGTTTTTTGTGTGTGGGTGAATCATCGCCAATGAAAAAAACACATTTTATTGTCAGCAGAAACAGTCGACTCGCTACCTACAACGTCTCCGATTGGCTCTCTAAATATATGTTACTGGTTCAGCATCCGTTTAGACAAAAAGCTGCCCCTGGTCTAATACTGGCAGGTAATAACAAGGTCAGCTGGATTGTTAAATACCTTAAATCAACAAATCTATCGCGAGGAACCAGGTCAGTGTCCGGGTTAAGGCGATAAACTGCGAAATTATCTTTCCCCCGTCATAACGAACAGGATGTTTGTCCCCATGATAGGAGGTATATATAAGGTGGCCAGTTTGACTCGTTTAATCATATTGACTCCTGTTGGTGCCAGTCTAACTGTTGTTCAACTAACTATATATTATACAGCCAGCCATACGTCAAGATGAAATCTGCTACAGTTATTTTAGCCTTTGCTGTTGCCCTGTGTGTCATGTTTGAAGTATCAGACGCTAATAGTAAGTTGATAACATTTTTTTTTTTTTCATTTTTTTTTTCGTTTATAATTTTTCAGTTTTTTACGCCTGTTAAAGTGTCTGTGCGGATTTGCATTTTGGGGAAAATATTAAATTTACCACGACATAAAGATGCATTATGTAAGAGCTAAATCTGACTAGTTCAGGTCTGTTTTCTCGCTTCAAATGTTATATAAATTATTATTTAAACATTTGTGAAGGTTGCATGGATTAATACTAGATCTTTGTGTCACCTGGAGAATATCTTCTCTAGGGTTAGGGTTCGGGTTAGGTTTAAATTACATGTCAAATGTACAAATTGAAGCTGTAACAACGGTGGATTGTGGCTAAAACTATTCTGAAGGGTTAGGGTTAGAATTGTGGGTATAAACACTGACAGATATTCTACAGATCGGTCACGATCCAGTAGCGTGCGGTTGCATGTCCAAAATCAACTCTCTCTACATTTTGTTCATATCCGGTTTATGTCGTCATAGAGAACGCTGAATGTTGAAAATTTTCAATTCATCATTGTAGGCTTTTTTTGATTGAATTGATTTAGACCATTTTTGACCTGATATTTCCATTCTGTGAAATTCGCTAAGCCATACAGTGTGCTATGAGGGAAATTTTGCCCGGACTGCGGCACTACGGCCTACTCTTAGGCCTATATCGAATTCTAAATGTCAAGGGATCTTTTACGTGCACGCCAATGTGTACACGGGACCATCCGAACGACTAGACAGCTGTTCTTGTCAGGCCCTCCGTCCTGCATCACTGACATGGGGGGACCACGCCAGAAAATCTGGATGAACTTTCTCGCCAAATGCAGGGATCGAACAGCGTCTTAACCCACTTAGCCACTGTGACCCCGTAGTTTGCAAGAGATCGATCAAATCTTCTAATAACATCCAGAAACATTAATATTTATTGCATAAACGAACATTTTGTTATTATACTGTCACACGTACTGTGTTCCAATACGGGATTTTCCGACGTGGTTTCTCCTTGTCAGTGGTGTAAGAAGAAGCCCCGGTAAGGATAGTGTCTTGTCGTGCGGATGGGACGAAAGAATTGAAAGTGAAAGAAATGAAATGAGGTTTAACGACTACTGCTCCAACAGGGCTAATGAAGACGGACAATCGCCATTGCTAATGGATACTGGTTATTTTTGGTTCTATTTTATAATTTCATCAGTGACTTTAAACAGTTACAGTTGAGTTGCCTAAATAGTGATGTTATTTTTAGAGTGTTCAAACAAAGCGAAGTAGAAGCATCATCCAAAAAAGAAAGAGACCGAGACGTAGGCCCAATCGACACAAATTAGATCATTTCGGGACTAATATACATGGTGTCATTTCATTTAAATAGTTCGCCTGCAAGTTGGGGCCTTTGGCAATGGGGGGGGGGGGACCGGGAAACCCGGATAGGTTAAGCAGGCGATCCTACGCCTTGTCGCGTGCACGCTTGAAATGTAAAACACGTCATTTGACTCAATGACAGATCTTATGATCTAAAGCGCACGAGTTAGACCACTTAACCCCCACCCTCTCATCAGAAAAAAAACCAGTTCGCTTTGGTCTAAACTAAACGTTTTCAATTATTGTTTGTTTCCTTTACAGCCTTTGCCAGATGCCAGTGTGGAGGAAGATGTGGAACATTTACATGTAGTAACCCAGATACTGTTAGAGGTTGTAACTGTGTTAGTTGTACCTGTAGGCGTGGAAGTATAGGTAAGCAGAAATGAAATGAGGTTTTACTTTCTACTTTCGTTTTTGTATACTTTCGAATATGGCCTATAAAAACGAAACGAAATAGGATCTGTGTTTTAATCAGATTGTACTTGTCTGCAAGGATTGGTCTAATGTAGACGGACATTCACCATACAGTATGCTCTAAGTGAAAATGGTCTATCCAGACAGTGGCACTACGGCCTACTGTTATTTTGAAATCTAACTTTCAAGGGGTCTTTAACGTGCATTGGACATTGTCTTTTTTGTCGCGCAGCGTGTCAGCTTAAGTTAATCTTGTTTCAAGTGTACACCTGGTATGTCATTATCTATACTAATATTGATGACTATCGTTTGTGTGTCTGTCTGTCTGTCTGTTCAGGGTTGGTGGCTGCTCTAGGGCTCAAATTTGGTGTATAAGGGTAGCTCGGAGCCTCGGCCGGGAAGTAACATGGACAGGTGGCGCTTCCTGTTTCGGAGTTATACTACTTTAAACCCGTCCAGCGCCGAGTCATCCCCTATAATATATTTTTTTTTAAAAAACTGTCAAAAAAGGTATATAGCCTGGAATATGTTAACATTTCTACACACAAGTAGGTGAATTCGGACCTGAAGGAGCTATTAAGGGGACACAACTTTCTACCTGATACAGTACTAATTTTTCGTCTGTTTTATTTTTTCAGGATTCCGTCAATGTTGTGCCAATAGTTGTGGTTTCTTTAACTCGAGGAAATGTTTCCGATGCAAACCTTATCAAAGCTGTAGCTGTAGTGGATGCCGATAAAAAAAACAACCAAACCAACAAAAACCTCAAAATTTTTATAGCGTTTTTAAATTATTTTTATAATTTATAAAATATTGTGCCAGTAAATGTGTTGGGTATTTTTTGTTGGGTTTTTTTTTTTGAAAGACTAAGGAATGTGTCCTATTCTATAGCAGTAACGGATGCAGATAGTCATAAAAAAACTATTTTATTTTTTTTTTTTTACTATATTTATATTTGAAAAAAGCGTTGTACAGAACTTTTTAATATATACATTTTTAAATTGCTGTGCCAATCATTGTTCTTTGAACTAAGAAATGTTTCCTATCAAAACGTTTATCAAAGCCGTGACATCTCAAAAACCTTTTATATTATTAATATCATTTATAAATTGTTGTACCAACTAATGTGTTTTTGGAAGACGAAGAAATGTTTCCAATGGTAACCTTATCAAAGCTGTAGCCTACCTGTAAAGGATGCCAATAAAATGACAAAACACTTTTATATTATTTATTTTTGAATAAAGTTTTTTACGTCTGTACTTGTGTGTTTATGTTTAATGGATCTTGGTTTTTTTCGGCGTAGACATGTTGGAAATGACATGGGGTTTAACGTCCCACATGTCTGCCCCATCAGGACTAATGATGACGGGGATACATGATGCAGTCTTCTTTGAGTGAAATGTTTCCCGGACAGCGACGCTACGGCCTACTCTTATTTCGAATTCCAACTGTCAGGGTTTCTTTCACGTGCACGCCTTCGTGTACCAGCACCCTGCGTGTTTGTCCCATTCGAACGCCTTGGTGTTGTTCACCTGTACCAGGAGGATCACTTGGTGTTGTTCACCTGTACAAGGGATGTGTACTGGAGATTTAAAACATTATAAATTGATGATTAATTCATTGTTTATTATGATGTATTTTGTTTATTATGATGTATCGAGAAAGTTCCGAGTGGTTTATTCCTCTGGTCAGAGATGCAGGACTTGAGAGTATAGCGTGTTGTGTCCAGCTATCACGTTAATATTCATATTACTGTACAATGGGAGATAACTTCATTCTAAGATAACTTCATTCTAGTTCTATATTGACCAGGTGACATGAATGACGTATAAAGCGGCCCATACATGTCCACTAAAACCATCAATATTATTGACCCAATATATTGCCTCAATAATATTGACGGGAATTGCCCACACACGATTCAATATTTCCATCAATAATTTCATCATTTTTTGGTCATTTTTAAAAATGGTTGTTTCTCAGTTGCCATGTTTACTCTTCCAAGGTTGACGATGGAATGAAAATATTGACGCAATTATTGACAGATTCTCCACACACGATCAATATTGTCATTCAATAAATTGACCGTCCGTCAATATATTGATGAACCATCAATAAAAATCAAACTGGTTTTGATCCGTCAATATATTGACGCAATGATGGTTATTGACAATATTTTACATCAATATTGCCCACACACGTTCAATATTATTGAGACAATATTGAGTCAATAATATTGACGGAATTATTGAACGTGTATGGGCCGCTGAAGAAAGTTCTATGGGCGCGTATCAACCATGTTGCCTGTCCAATCTCGTGGGTTTTCAAATAAACTGCCGGAAATGCAGTCTGGCAGTATTTCAGGCACTGATCGTCGAGATAAATAGAGCTTATCAGATACCGTCTATCGCAAAATCACTAGTTTATCCGACCAGAGGGGAAAGTGTCAAACGGACGGAGTGAGTGAATCAAAATGAATGAATATTTTCGCCACAATATTTTGAGAAATAGACTGCCGGAAATGCAGTCTGGCAGTATTTCAGACACTGGTCGTCAAGATAAATAGAGCTGACCACATACTGTCTGTCGCCAAATCACAAGCTTAACCGAACAGAGAGCGAGGTGTCAAACGAACGGAGTGGGTGAATCAAAAGTGAATGAATATTCTTGTCGCGGTGAACCAGTACCCCAAAACATAAAAAGCACTTCTCAAGTGGTTTACGTGTTATTGCTTATTAATAGGTTTACAGCAGGGTGGGTTCGGTAAAAAAAAATTTCACTCAGACTCTACAACATGCAAGTCTATGACTGAGTGGGATTTAATCATCGTAGAAGGTATTGATTATCAAAACATACCACAAATAATTGCCCCCCCCCCCTCACTCCCCAACTTGGCGCCGCCACTGAGTGTTTCTGTTAAATTTTAGGGGTCCATAATAATAATAAAAGAAAAATGATCAAGAATAATTTTTTTTTACTCATTGAAATAGGTTGGGTACGAAAAGTACCATGTTTTCGGAGCTTTGATAATTAACTCGTTAACTTTAAAGTTTTAACGCGTTATCCCGTTAAAGGACATTTTAATATGCTCCGTGTCTCAGTTGTAAACTAAAATGTTATGAAATATGAATATCAGTCCAAAAATGGTTCAATTCCGTTCAGTTTGAACAAAGTAATGTGGAATTGAAATTTCACCGATCTATATAAGTAGAATGTTATTCCATTCGTTGATTATGACTGATATAATGACGATCACTTAACCCGATAACTTCTGCCTGTGTATAAAGGCCTACATGGATATCCAGTTATATACACATCTTGAAAATTTGGGGATCGACGACACAAGGAAAATCTTAAAAGTATCATAATAGTTATAACTGCACAAGATGAGGATACAGGATTACAGAGATAAAGAGAGAGAGAGAGAGAGAGAGAGAGGGAGGGGAAAGAGAAAGGGTGGGGGGGTAACGTCCACTCGACACAAACCAGGTCAATTTTATTTCAATTATTCACTTAGCAGTGGGAGGAAACCGGAGGACCCGGATAAAACCCACGCGGTTGGACAAGCGACCCTACTCCTTGTCACGTACCACCGGGGAATCGAAACCACGCCAGTTGACTCAATGACCTCCCCCCTACAGGATTACAATGTCACTCAGAATTAACCGTTTTGTGTTTTGCTCTTGCACTAGTAAGCGTGTACCATTCATTTAAGAACCTGGGCCCTTTACTAATGACAAATGTTGTCATTAAATCATATAAGTGATCATTTTTCTAAATTAAAGTTTAGTATGTATAGAAATAGTTAGTTAGTAGTAATTAGGAGATGTATAACAAGTTGGCCTTATCAAATAGATCTAATCCCTTACGGCCATAATCAAAATTTTGCTGACATTGTCCAACACGAAATCGAAAGTCCCCCCCCCACCCGTCATCTGCTACAAAGATGAACTCTGACACAGCAACATACATCCAATTGTTTGCTGGATTATCTCGACATTTTACTATGGAAGAAATGAAAAACCTTCTTATTGGTTCGGACGAAGAGCTGGGAATGTGAAATGCCATTACAAGAAACTTTCGAGATTCAACAACATTTGTGTGTTCCCGCCATATCAGACAAAATGTTTTGGACTATTTAAGTAACAAAGTTGGTGTGAGTAAATCAGAAAGAAAGTGGGTTGTTAGCGAACTCTTTGGTGAAAATGGTATTGTCGGCGAACAAGATCCGACAATCGTCGCAATCAAAATCTCCTTGTAATTCGTATATCCGACCTTTTAAAAGTGAATTACAGCGTCAATAATGATATCCGTTCCAGAGAAAGTAGGCCTACCTGGACCAATATTGACTGCGAGAGCCTGCGGAATGGAGATCATTAAAATTAGTAGATTTTGCCATAAAAGTGAAAGAATCAGTTACAACTAAATACAAGGAAATGAAGTTATTCTTGACCAGTTATAGTTGTCATCTCAAGCTTGATGACTGTTTTCAGCATCGGGTCGTAGACTTCGATAAATGGTGTGCCAAGTCGAGAACTGAAAGGGCTCAGACGAGTCGATTTATGTCGGACCCAGACCATCCTCTCTGTGGTGGAGTCACGGTGGCTAAGTGAGTAAGACGCTGGCTCGCTAGTCTGGAGGTCACGGGTTCGCTTCCGGTGTTGGTCGAGAAAGTTCATGGTTTCCCTTTGTCAGTGGAGCAGGACGGAGGTCCTGACAAGGACAGCTGTCTAGATGTTTGGGTGGGACGAAAACCGAAGTCCCGTGGATCCCTTGGCAGTTGGAATTCGTCAAAATAGTGGGCCGTAGTTGTCCGGGCAAAATCTCCGTCATATCACACTGTAAGGCGTATGCCCGTCTTCATTAGCCCAGTCTGAGCAGAACAGTAGGACGTTAAACTCTATTTCATTTTGTAAGTCAATGAACGGGGGACGGACCGCGGGCTAGTGAAAAATATGAGGGGGCCAGAGCTTGCCCCCGGTGTGGATTCTGTCGTTGTCTTCCCTTTTTCAGTGGTGCAGGATGTTTTGGCATGGTTTCCCCGGGTAAGTGGAACAGGAAAAGTGTCTAGTTGTTCGGATGCTACAAAAAAAGAGGTCCAACGTAAATAAATCATCCACATTTTTAATTCGAAATAAAGGTATTATAGGCCGTACAGCATGGCTGCATTAGAGCTGTATGACGTTAAATCGTCTTTAAAAATTACACCGTGAGTTACTGGGGTATGTTATCTTTCGAACTACTTTCCTGCGATCTTTTGATCGGGATCAAACCGCAGACCCCCAGGCTAGCAAGTCAGTATTTTACTCATTGGGCAATAATTAGCTACCCTTTGCTTAATCACCATATAATTAAGTTATATGTTTGAGTTTATATTTGGAATTTTGACATACGGGGGTAAGTTAAAGTTTTCATTTGAGAGTTCAATGTACTCTCACATTTGGTGGGTGGATGATCGGATAAAGAAAAAACAACAAACAATAAAATTAAAAGAAACAACTAATACGAACCATAACAGAGTTTATCTAATGAAATGATATCACATGTTCTAGAAAGATTAACATACATGTAGTTTTACTAATCAAACAGTATATTTATGATACATGGCGTTTCTAATTATAAACATACATTTCAAACAGTATATTTATGACACATGGTGTTTCAAATTAGAAACATACATTTAAAACAGTACATTTATGACACATGGTGTTTCTAATTATAAACATACAGTAGAATCTGTATTAAGCAGCCACTCAGGGGAAATGCCATAAGTGGCCTCTTAATAGGAGTGGCCTCTTAATAGGACAAAGAAAAGATAACTCTTAATAAGACAAAGAAAAGATAACTCTTAATAAAAGGGAACTGTGTCAGGTGGTTTATTAAAACAAACAATACTTATATTTCATTAAACAACAAACAATGTATATCTCATTAAACAACAAAGAATTCATTAATTTTTGGTTGTTTAGCACATTTTTTAACAATCAATTTTGATGTGATGTCTCTAGCACTCATAATGGCATCCAAAAGTTCAAAATTGCCCTCCCTTTCTGCCAAAGTTTTAATTTGGTCACAATAACTTAAAGCTGTGTCCATATTAATACATTTTTCACTTTCTATCTCTTTTAATTCTTCCTCGTCATCACTTTCGTGGTCATAATTTCTTTCTCCTATCTCCTCGGCTAATAAATCATTAGCTGATTTTGTCCAGTCAATTTCACCGACATTCACGTCACAAGTTGCTAAGTCGCAGTCTATTGTTGGTAATGAAACAAAGTCTGTATCAAAAACTTGTTTTGACAACCTTAATAGTGAAAGTGGCAAATTAAATTCGTCGTCTTCGTCACTTTCACTTTCAGCTTTGTCAAGTTGAAAACCACAACGTCTAAAACACTTCGTTATAGTTGTATCCAAAACACTTTTCCAAGAATTACTTATCCAATATATTACAGTCAGTATATCTAAACATTTAAGAATCTCTGTGTTTGTGGAGGTCGTGTCTTTTTCCATCTGCATGATCACATGTTCTAACTGTCTTTTCCGATAATGTTTTTTAAACGTTTCAATGATCCCTTGGTCCATAGGCTGTGGCTTTGATGTTGTATTAGCTGGAAAAAACTGGAGCTTAACGTTGGACAGTTCTAAATGTGGATGTGATGGCGCGTTATCCAAAAATAAGAGAATGTTTCTATTTTCTCGCCGCATCTGCTTATTTACTGACAGCAGCCATTCTTCGAAAATAGCCGCCGTCATCCAGGCCTTCTTATTGCTTCGATACATAACGGGAAGCTTGTTCACGTCCTTCACCTTGCTAAAACATCGAGGTTTTTTGGATCGTCCTAACACTAGGGGTTTCAGCTTTTCTCCGGTCAAACTGGCACACAATGCAACTGAAAGTCTCTCCTTTGACCGCTTTCCTCCGGCACAGTCATCCCCCTTAACGTGGAAAGTTTTCCGCGACCCGTCTTTGTAAAATAAACCGGTTTCGTCCATGTTGAAGATGTCTTTTGGCAGAAACCCACTACACAACTGTGGCACTTTTGATTTAAAATAGTCTACTACACCCATATCCACGTCTGCCCGCTCACCGCTCATACATCCGAAAACTATATTGTGTCGGGAAAGAAATGACCGTAGCCATCCGTTAGAAGCTTTAAATGTTTCTAATTTTAAATTCTCAGCAAACTGCAATGCCTTTGCTTGTAGTAGAGGCCCGTTCACTGGGGCATTTCGTTTCCGACAATCTTTAAAAAATTCCCAGACAAGGGTGTTTATGTCTTCGTTCCCTGTCACACGTTTTGCACGCTTTCTATCTGGGGCACAGACCTGAAATTCTTCTAACACTTCTGCCTTTCTCTTCAAAATATTCTGAATCTGCGTTCTGCCAACACCTATCGAATTTATAGTGACCGCTTACAAGGAGATGTCGCTGAATAGGAGTGGCTGCTTATACAGATTCTACTGTACATTTAAAACAGTATAGTTATGACACGTGGTGTTTGTAATTAGAAACGTACATTTCAAACAGTATATTTATGACACGTGGTATTTGTAATGAAACAGACTTATTATGTATTTATGAAACATGGTGTTTCCAACCAAATGGCATTTCTTACACAAATTGATCACATAAGTTCTAATCAAACAGAATTATGTATTTATGACACATCGTGTTTCTTATCAAACAGTATTCATCACACATATTTATAACACTTACAGTTTCATGTTATTTACATTAACAATGGTCTGAACAGTAACTGTCCTGTGTATGACACTTATCGTTTTATGTTATTTACATTTACAGTGGCCTGTACAGTAAATGCCCTGTTTATGACACTTATCGTTTTATTTTAGTTACATTAACAGTGGCCTGTACAGTAAATGTCCTGGTGTTGTCAATAAATCCGTTCTCAGCAAATCGTAGTTTATCCCAGCTTATCATAGGCCCATCATCCGTATATCTCCTACAAGGTGAAAATGTATCTGAACGTTGTTTTACTAGTGATTTACTCTCATCGATGATATTCAACAGTTTCAATGTCAAACTAGCTCTAACGGTTTTAATAGTTTTATCTTCTACTGTCTTCAATCCCACGGTCATATATAATGTTTCTTGATTATATCTCATACGTACACGCCATGTTAATCCTTGCATTATTATATCATCACTATAGTAAAACCTACCAGGCCTCACCGTGTTCAGACTAAAACTAATGGTAAATATTGGGCCATCCACAGTTCGTACGTCTCCACCAAATGTTGCTATTTCATCCAGTAGTGGTTCTGGAGGTTCTCCACCCAACGTTGTTGTCTGTATTTCACCCAACAGCTGTTTTAAGCAATCCACATCAACATCCGCCATAAAATAATAAGGATGTCTGACTGCGGGTTTCTGTAAATGTGAAGAGATGCTGTGATCTGTTCTTGTCAGAACTTCATCTAATCCTTGTGCATCTAAAGCTGTAATTATAGATCTGTTTTTTAAAATATCATCAGAATATTTATCCCAGCTTTCCATTTTACATGCCACCTTGTCGACATCGTTAACTAGTTTGGTGAGTTTGTTGATTTCATCTTCCTGGATTTTATTAATGTCATTTTTGATTGTATCTCCTATCTTCCCGAATTCTTCACAAATATTGTTTATTTGTATATCAACATTATCACACGCTGTTTCACACGAGTCATTCACATCAGATATTAAGGTCTTTAAAAAGTCAGAATGTTCTTGCAAATCTTTTAGCTTCTTTGCTGATTCTGTTTTCAATTTCTTCACAATTTCTCTCATTTCCTTTTCTACGTCATCTAAGACTGCCAATGTGTGGTCTTTATGATCGAGAAAAACACAAACAGAACAGCATGGTATGCGACAATCTCGACAATAAACGCCAGATTCTTTCTTCTTGTGTTTTGTACAATATGTTGTGTCCTCAGAATCGTCTTCTAGATAAAAGTTGGTGACATACTGACGGGCACCACCTCTTGGTACTGTAGTTTGTTTTCGACAAATTGGGCAGTTAAACGTGTTGACATGCGTGCGACTCGCGATAACACCATCTATACATTGTTCACAGAAGGTGTGGTGACATGGTAGGAATCTGGGCTTATCAAAGTTACCTTGACAAACAGAGCACGTTTTATTAGTACTAGTAGCCATTTTGTGCCACGTCAAATACTTCTTCTTAATCCATATCCTGTTTAAACAGGTAATGTGGTTTTGAATAAACTATTATTATTTTTTATTATGGAATCAGACCACCGTTAATTCAACTCGTTTGATTAGCAATGGATATAGATCCTTCTAATGAAAGCGGGCGAATTTACATTTTCTGCCAGGTTTTGATTAATATTTATGATATTGAGGCGGACGGATAATAGAGTTAAGGGGTTGGTAACGTGGCAATCATAGAGTTATTAATAGTAGTTAATCTGTGGTTGAAATCCAAGGCGGATTTTTATATTATAATGGTTACTAGTATGCTACTTTCAGTTTGTGTATCTCACGTTTTCAGTGGTGAAAAGTTCTAGTTTGTGTGTCTCAAGTTTTCAATGGGGAAAAGTTGGCACCGGTCAATTGGGTCAGTGGTCGAACTCGGTCTGTTGCGAACTGTCTATCGGCATTGTTTATTGATATTGCAACTTGCTTTGATTGTGGATTTTAAAAGTGCTAATTCTTTTTTGTAAACTTCAAACTGCGTACCCGCTATTTATAGTATGTACGCACAAGACGTAAGCGCGCTTCTTCGTTAGCCCAGTTGGTTCAGAAAAGTAGGATGTTAAACCCAATTCCATTTCAATGAATCTTTTGTATTTTACAGGAATGGTGGCGATCAGAGTAATGCTCGGTGACCAGTGAAAGATCATCGTCAGGCTATAAATCTATTTGTTAAGGCCAGCTCAATTTTTGTCAAGGTTCTTGAGATGTAAGTAAGGTTAGGGCACGTGATTGTTGGCAAGATTGTAGGTTAGGTTTAGGGTAAGCATTGGGGCTAGGTCCAGGGTTAGGGTTAGGTTTGGGATTAGCGCTAACCCTGTTTACATCTCGTGACCTTTGACGAAAAATTGAGCTGGGCTTATCATTTAGCACTAACCATCATCGTCATCCATATGTTTACATGTATATATTTTATCATTGCTTGATAAAGTCGGTCAGAATGGCGTGCTGTGTAGTTCAAAGCAAACATATTATAAGACGGACAAATTTTCAAAGCTGGTATCACCAATGACATTCTTGTAAATGCACTATCTTTAAGTTTCGAACACCACCCTGGGCTATATCTCCTCCTAAGATGAAATGGTTTCAATGTCATACTTTCTAAACCACTGCCCGGGCAAAATTTCCCTCATAGGCTCATGGCACACTGTATGGCGTATGCCCGTCTTCATTAACCCAGTTTAGGAGCAGAACAGTAGGACGTTAAACCCGATTTCATTTCATTTCATTTCTAAACCAGACGGACCGATGAAGACGGACATGCGAGAGACATTTAGCCCGGACATCAGCAGCGTTAGGGACTACTCTTATTTTTGAATTTCCACTGGCACGGGTTCTTTTAAATGGATGACTATATAGACACTGACTTGTCGTACACTCCGCAGGGGCGAATTAGGGAATCGGCCGCCGGAGCAGGGGCGGATCCAGGAATTGTTGCAGGAGGGTGTTTGCCAGGTTCCTGAGATAATATATCCCCCCGCCCCCTCCCGTCTCGTCTCTATCGTCATTTTGCCGTATATACATACACATTGAGCTTTTTAAACAGAGAAATTCTACACCTCGTTTGACGTCAATTTTTATTATGAATTAATACAATGACATTGTGATTCAATTTCATGGATGAAAAGCATTAATTGTGATATCACATAATGTCTATATCATTATCTCGTGCTTTGAGTGCCCATCCTGCCCCACATCTGACGATAAAGGATAAATCACACGGCCGAGAAACTTTTCTCACAAAAAGTGTTAATTTACAAAAAGAAAATATATAGGCGACCCCCCCCCCCCCCGATCCGTCCCTGCGGAGGCGGCATATTCCGAGGCGAAGGGCCCTAGTCAGCGGGGTTTGAAGGTCTCTCATAGAAAGGGTACTTTCCTATCGATTTAGATACAAACTGGGACCGATGATTTCGTTCCCCTAGCGAAAAACAAATGAAATTGGGTTTAACATTCTGCTTATCTGCAACAACTGGACTAATGTGCTATGGAGGGGGGGGGCATTTTGCTCGAACAGCTTCGTTTCCCTCTACTCATCTTCGAGATCCCGATGTTGGGCTTAGAAGTTTCTCGGAATTTTCAGGTGAGGATTCTAGTTGTCAGTTGGCAAGCGTTTATTCGTTTGGATGGGGTGTAAAACCGAGGCGTGCAGGTGGAATTGGTCTTAGCTCCGCTGCCCGGGCAAAGTTTCCCGTATCACACTTCATAAACAATGTTGGTGGAGGAAAGTATAGTACATTAACCCCCATGTTATGGACATCTCGATAGTACTATAAACATCTGACATTTCCATGTGGCAAAGCAGAGATGAAACTCTCATTTTAAAAAGAATATGGGAAGCTTATTCAAACCATACATTTTCCTGAACTCATTACTGATACGGATTTATGAACATTTTTTGCGCCAAAAATGTAGTTTCAACAGGGGCGGATCTAGGAATTTTGAAAAGGGGGGGGGGGGCGCTGCAAAATGAAGGCATTGACCGCGGAGACGGGGCACGCCGCTGAGGGGGGCGGGGCCAAGAAAATTATCCGTCATTTCCTTGCATCTGTAGCCATTCCAAGAGCTATTTCCCAGACTGGTGTGTTTGAGTCGATGGTTTGAGTCATTTGGGATCCCTACAACGGGTTGGTAACGGACATATTTGAGTCTGAGAAAAGGCACTTTCAGCAGTAAAAAAGGGCACTGTCGAAAATTCGCGCTCCCCATTGAATCCGCCTCTGTTCAATAATGATAGAGGTTCTGCAATGGCTAATCACCCAATCCACGAAAACAAAATTGACTAATAGTCCAGTCAATTTGTGGTTTGACCTAGAAAAAAACGGCAACATAATTTCTGTTTGCTGCAAACAGCTCCTCAGACCTGGCCCCGTTTCACAAAACATTCTAAGACTTAAGTTAAGAATTTACTCAACTTTCAATCACTGGTTATGAGAATATCATTAATCCAGAAACACAAAACTTTGTACATAGTTTCTTATTGATATATCTGATAGATTCAAACAACAAAAGTTTTATTTTAGTTAAAATAAGGTGAACAATTTTGAGTAAATTCTTAACTTAGTCTAATACCGGGACCTGGACAACATAATATTAAATTATAGATTATTATAAGAGAGTGAAAATGTTTAAATAGCATAAATCCAAGATGACCGCCCTTCGTCATTTTTTTCAGTCAACTTTACGCTGTATAGATTATATTTTGGGCAGAATTGCTCAAATTAATAGTTCAATCCGTATTATAATTCCGTCGAATTATCGTGGAGAGATAATTCAATTGTAAATGCTGAATTAAAGTATTTGGAGAAATTTGTTTAAAATCTTAATCCGGGTCTGATAGTGGAACACAATGAAGAAAAATGAAATGGGGTTTAACGTCATACAGCGTAGAGTGTGCTATGAGGGCAATAGTTTGCACGGACAGTGGCAGTACGACATCTCTTATATGAAATTCCAACTGTCAAGGGTTCTTTGAGTTGAACGCCAATGTGTACACGGGACCTACGGTCTACTCTTATATACAATTCTAACTGCCAAGGGATATTTTACGTGCATATGTACAAGAGACTTCGATTTTTCGTCCCATCCGAAAGATTATACGTTGTTGACCGGCCCTCTGGCGGTGATTTAGTGGGTAAGACACGGATTCGCTAAAAGAAGATCCCGGGTTCGATCCCGGTATTGACCGAGAAAGTTTTCCATGATTTTCCAGTACGGATGGCGTCTTGTCGTTCGGATGGGACAACAAGAAGTTCCTAGCTAGACCCTGATCTCCTGGCTATAGTGAGCAAGCGCTTTACTCACTGGTACCCCCTCCCCCCCCCCACCCCCACTGCTGAAGACCCCAACCCGCAAGCGAATTATTGAAATATAAATGGAGCATATGTTAGTCTTAAAATGACCTAGTTTGTGTCGGGTGGGGGTTAAACCCCATCTCTTCCTCTCTCTCTCTCTCTCTCTCAAAAAGCGAAATAATACGTCTACTGTTTCAGTTTCCGTCTCTCTTTGGAGAGTTGTGTATCCCAGAGGAAAACAGTTCAACCCAAACTAATATTCAGTGAGACAGTAAGAATGTAGTTTTGGCACAAATTGAAGCCTCCGATGTTTGGTTGGATTACCGTAGTAAATTGAGAGTTCGTGCATGGGTGTATCGTAGGAGAAGATCTAGAAGGTATAGTGTGGCGATTCATCAGAATATAGGACCGGGCTAGGTAGATTTAGCTCCTTTAATACAGGATTAGTGTGATCTATCTTCTGCTTGTTGCTGATTTATTTGAATGGAATTGCAGTATTGACTAATACTGTTAAAGTGCGACCAAATTATAAAACTTACTTTTGCAGGGCGCGATGGCGCGGACAGAAAATCTTTGGAAACACACAAGACCAATTTCCCTAAAGTGACAAACCACACTCGGCAAACCTCAGCAGACTCCAGTACCCTACATGGGTACCGGAATCTGCCGAGGTTTGCCGAGTGTGACATGCCACTACCTGTCATACAAGTCTATGTTAAGCCGATTTTTTTTTCTGACATAGCCTATGTCCCTTCTGGCCCTCCTAGCTCCTACTTAACGATCTCAAAACTCATCGGAAAATGCCACTTTGTTTCACGATTTTGGGGAAATAGGTCTTCAATCGTATGTTATTCCCGGACACCAGTTTGCCCACGTCATGATCTGGTAGTACACAAATCGGACCTTTTCTAATGTAAGAAATTAATCGTATTATAAAGAATACTGCTCGAAACCATGGATTGGCATCATTGGAAAACGAGAACCAATTTCATGACATAAACCCTTACATAGAAAAACGGTGGATTCGCGAAACGATAGGTTGCCAGGCAACAAAACATACGTCCACAGCAGCTAAATCGTCCGAGCAGTCAACAATTGTGGACGCCGAATCGACGGACCGACAGACGGGCGGGGGCGACGACAATATACGACCACATTTCAATGTGGGCGTATAAAAACTGGATGTTAGTAACAATTTCATAAAAGTTAAAGAAGCCAATAGTGAGGTTCGAAGTTATTGTGTCACAAGGGACTAGCAAATAATATTGCTTATCTCTGCTTGAGAAAATGCTCATGCTCATGGCCAGATATTCACTTCAATTAGAAGCACCAAAAAGTGTGACTGACAGACAGGTGGCCACACCCATTTTGATAGTTTTCTCCTTTCTCTAATCAGATCAGGTAAAGGAATGGTTGAGAAGTATATTTTAAACATGTAATGAAACGTGTCAGTGGGGGGGGGGCGGACAGTGAGTAAGGCGCTAAATCACTAAACAAAAGGTCTGGTGTTGCCCGAGAAAGTTACCCCAGGATTTTCCAGCATGGTTTCCTCTTGTTAGTGGTTTAGGATGTGGGGCCTGGCAAGCAACAGCATACACATAAAACAATCTGTGACAGTTGAAATTCAATTAAGAGTGGACGAAAATGAAGCTGTCTTGGCAAACTTTCCCTCAAAGTGCGTTGGTTCCGAAAATCCTATTTCTTTTCACTTTGCAGAGGACAGTAATTATAGACCCTATAATGGGCCCCCAAAATGAATTAAAAACATTTTCATAGATGTTTTGAAATCAGTGCCACACTCACTGAGTCACAATGGCTCCTCTCAAGACCTGGATATGGCAGGGGGGGGGGGGGGAGGTAAGGCCACTCAATACAAACTAGGTCACTTTGGGACTAACATGGTTCAATTTTATTTCAATAAATCACTGGCACATGGGAGGAAACCTACAAGGTTGGGAATGAAATGTGGTTTAATGTCTTATTGTTCTGCTCCGACTGGGCTAATGACAACGGTTTATACGCCATATAGTGCGTTATGAGAAAAATTTTGCCCGGGCAGTGGCAAGGGATTTTTAATGTGCATGCCAATGTATACACAGGACCTTGGTTTTCCATCCCATCCGAACCACTAGACAGCTGTCTGCCAATGCTACAAGGTTGAACACTTGGACAGGTTGCCCTACTCCTTGTCACTTAAAAGCTTAGGATCAAATCCATCACACCACTTTACTCAATGTCAGGCCTCATGATCTAAAGGGGGGGGGGGGTAGATGGCCGAATGGTTAGAATGTGCACGCTGTATCTAAAGGTCCGTCATTGAGTCAACTGCCGGGGTTTCGATTCCCCGGTTGTACATGGCAAGGAGTAGGGTCGCCTGTCCAACCTTGTGGGTTTTATCTGGGTCCTCCAGTTTCCTCCCACTGCTAAAGACCCCTTCGCGCGCAAGCGGATTATTGAAATAAAATTAAGCCATATGTTAGTCCCAAAATGACCTGGTTTGTGTCAAGTGGACGTTAAGCACCATTTCTCTCTCACTCTCATGATCTAAAGCACAAGTGTTAAAACATTCAACCACCTTACCCCTAAAACAAAACCCGGATGTGGACAGGATAACATAAATATATAATAAATATAAGAGAATTATTTTTAATAAAGTTTAATTCATGGAAGCAATACCTCAGTTGAATCCAGATAGTGTATATTATTTGATGTGGCATTTTTCTCAACAAATAAAGCAGAGTATGTTCATAAAATCAATATATATTACATTCTGGATTTGGACATGAAAACTTAAATTACTCCATCATAGGAAAAAATGTACAACATTGCATTAATAATTTAATAGAAATAAACCTAAATTATTTCCCATTTGACTCCAAAAATGTACACGCATGTGCATGAGCATGTAGCGATTTTTGAGTCCCATCCAATTTCAATTTAAAGTAAAAGTTTCAACATTTTCACCCATCACAAAATAAATTATGGTCTTCAGTGTATTATTAACTTTAAATTAGATTTTATCAATGGGCGTCCCCGCTGAATGAATTCCCTCCAGGTGTCGCTAGTAAAAACTCGGTTCCACGTGACTTTATCGATGGTAAGAGAACCATATCGGTATTAAATTCCATATTAACGACAAAAACTAACGTTTGTCAACACAGGAGTTCATAATGAATGTACAGGAAAACTGTGCTATAAGGTAAACAATGAGGTCACGTTGGACCGCCTCGCCTATAAATTATGTCCCTTTATCTTTAGCGAGGATGCCCATTGTCTGCGATATCACTACTGTGGAAGTAAAAGTTAAACCTCAACCAGTCAGTTGATTTCATCTACATACGATTAATCTACGATTTAATACTTTGCGTGTGATATATATAATCGAAAATAAAAAAATAATTCAACATTTCTAAATCCATGCAAATTCAATGACATACGTTACGTGATAATTCATTAAAATTACTAAGACTTATACACTTATTATCTAACTAACAAAGGCATACATTTGAAGGTCTGTGAGCAGACAGCTGGTACGAGTTTATTTAACCACTGAACAAATCTGTGACAATAATTCCTATCCATATCAACACTTATATATGAAAAGTCATAGTCCATGACATGGCATATCTGCTTATACAGTATTTCTAAATCATTTTTATTTTTTTTTTTAAACGCTACCGATTCAACTTCCAGAATATTTATGTAACCATATAATATTATAAATTCATAACCTCCCTATTATTATAGTCCATTTATGTTTTCAGTATTTACATTCCTATACAGCTGAGTGTACATTTGTCAGCGTATATAGTCAAGGTGCTGATGGGTCCGACAGAAATCAATCAATCGCGGTTTTCAAGAGATCCTAATGATATATTTACACAACCCTTGATAGCTCATACTGTGTGTAGCTAATTTATACATTGATTTATATAGAGGGGGGTCAAATTTATTTCAGGCAAGTCTCTGCTTAAACATACATTATGCAAGAGCTAAATCTGTCTATTACAGATCTTTCTTTAGATCTGAAATGTTATCTAAATTATTAATTAGACATTAGTTAACTTATCCAGACCATAATTAACTCTCGATGTCATCGCTAGCCTGCGATATTTTCTGAATTAGAATCCTATCTGTTGCTTAACACTCATTGATAATTAAATCAAAAAATGGATAATCGAGACTATATTTTTTATCGTACTGACTTTAGTAATGATGATCGCTAAATTCTCGGATCAGAATGGATCAATTTGACTGAATTTTTCAGCAAATTCCCTTTACATTATCTAGATTTTAACAATTATAGTGAGAACTGTCAGGTCTTTATCTTATCTCCTATAATGTATCTTTAAAGATTTGAGAACCAAAAATTTACAAGGGCTCTTTAGTTCACTTGAAATCAAGTTATTTCATGGTTTTTATATTTTTTTAGTTTATTTCATTTTTTTTAAACATTATTTTATTCAGATTTGTGTCTGAATAGGGATTGGGGAACAAGCATAGCCTATATTAGACCCTCTCCCGATTTCTTGTAAAATGCAGATTAACTATCCATACATTGTATGTGATCAATTTTTCAAGATGGCCATATATTACAGGTATATATTGCTTTTACTAAATGCCCTTTAAAAGGACCATTGCAAAATATTAACCCTTGCGTGCAAATAAAACCTACGGTCAGATCTCTATCCACCTACTAATTGCATCCACAGAGTAAGAAAATTTTAACATATTTAAATTCTAAATAACCAACAGTTAATTTATCATTTTTCTTATCGCAGTGTCGTTCAACCCACACTCTCAGTTCCACTGGTTATTTGTTTAGACGCAAATGTTGTAATCTTGTGATGGACCCAAAACAGGATCCAAAATAATGATTTAAGTTCTACTTGACAAACTGTCAGATTCTAATAAATTATTACCTGACATTTGAACTTTGTGTTGGACAAGTATTATATACCATTTAAAACATAATTGCGTGCCGTACAAAATGAAAGGCACCATATGGATTGTGCCTGACAAGTCTGTATTTGTGCCTGACAGTGCCTGTGAAGGAGAATGCTAGATCAAAGACGGTCTCGCACAAATGACGTCACATGGATTGTGGGTAAGTGTTAGGAGTTGTGCTAGCCCTGTTTACATCTCAGGTTCTTGACGAAATCTGCAGCCCTAACCCTAACCCACACTCCACATAATGATGTCTTAAGTGCTAGATCGTCTCCTGTTTTAGCTTGATAACATTGAGAGAATACTCTTTGAAACCTCATCCAATTATATTAGCTGTTTTCCATAAAGTATGCATTATAGTTTATTATAGTAGTTAAAATCACCTTGACAAATTTTTAATTCTTGAAACAATTAGACTATGTTTCTAACTAAAAAAAAAAAAGGATTAATTTCAAAATATAAAGCAAATAAATAACTTTTTGTCAAAACAATATATCTACAATATAGCAAGTATTTCCTTAAAGATGCATTATGTAAGAGCTAAATTTGCCTAATGAAGGGTCTTTATTTTGACTTCAAAGGTTTATAAACTATTATTTAGATATTGATTCACATGGCAAGCCTTAATAGAGAGAGAGAGAAAAGGGGTTTAACATCCACTTGACACAAACTTCGGGACTAACAAATGGTTTAATTTTATTTCAATAATTCACTTGCACGTAGGGGTCTTTAGCAGTGGGAGGAAACCGGAGGACCCGGAGAAAACCCACGAGGTTGGACAGACGACCCTACTTGTTGTCACGTACAACCGGGGAATCGAAACCACGCCAGCTGACTCAATGACAGGCCTTATGATACAGCACGCACGTGCTAACCATTTGGCCATCCAACACCCCACAAGCCTTAATAAACTCTCTAGACCATCGGATGGCAGAGATTTTAACATGATCACCATTTAATGACTTAATTTATAAATGGCAAAACGAGGCTAACAAATACCGTTGTTATGGCAAAAAAAACAATCTATGCCACATTTTGTCAGTGATAACTTCTCTAAGAATAAAGAAATTTGAATGAAATTTTCAATATCTTCAATGACTTAATTTATAAATGGCGAAACGAGGCCAACAAATACCGTTGTTATGACAAAAAAACAATTTATGCCACATTTTGTCAGTGATAACTTCTCTAAGAATGAAATTTACAATATCTTCATTTTGTATGATATATTTTTGAATTATTGAAGCAAGAACTTCCAGCTTCTTATCTAAATCTTACACAATGCTTCTTTAATACATGTCTAATAATTACTAACTGGGAAATCAATTCAATATTTTACGGTGTATAGAATTTTATTAATATTCAATCAAATAACAGTTTTGATCTTACTGCCATTGACACAATAATAATCAGCATACAAACAATTCCCTTAAACCTGTTTTACTACCGTCTCTGTCAGCTGAGCTTACAAATCTGATGAGCGACCATCATGTAAAAATGGGAGCCAACTCTCTCTTGAAAACACGAATCACTGGATATATCAGTGTGGTATATTTTGGTAGGTTTATTTGATTGACCGTTTTCATAAAATCTTTCTATTCACTGTATACATCAATGAGGTAAGTTTATTAAACACAAAGTTTTCATTCTGTGTCAAATACGTCCCGGTCACGTTTTTTTATTTTTTTTTTTACATTGTACTGTGAAGTCTTTTATTGGGCCGCTTTCCTGCACTTTATTAGATGCTATACTTATAATCACTTCCCATTCAAAATAAATGAAATGAAATGGGGTTTAACGTCCTACGTTTCTGCACCGACCAGGCAAATGAAGACAGGCCATTAAAAATAATAAAGGTGCTTTCAATTTTCAGGCCAGTTGAGGTCTTTTTCGTACGGAAAATTCATCTATCGGTAATTCTGGGTTAGGGTCAGTGTTAACTACTGTTAACCCTTGTGGCGATCAACTCTGCCTGTAGAAATTCCTGACCTCCCCAAATTAGACTCTACCAAGAAAGATTACCTCACATGAAAGAAAGTGACCCAATACCATGTTATTAAGATCCGAAATAACTGCATATGGCAGGAGAATCAATGGATACACAATTTGAAATAACTTTTATTATTTCAATTCAAAGTAATTATTACTGCTGTAGAATTATACAGATATTATGATTTGAGGTTAAAGGAGCACTAGAAAAACTACTAGGGGCCATATTTTATTCCGAAAATTTAATTCCATTTATATTTTTAACCGTGGAGAGACGAAGGCTCAGGATCTGAAAACCAAGCGAAAGAGACAGTAACATTTGCAAATGGTGTCTAGTCAAACAAATATTATATACTCATTTGTACACAACTAGTCAGAATGTACATAAAAAAAAAAAAAATTAAAATTTCAAGATTTTAAATAACATATGTACATGCACAAAAATTGTCCAAACACTCAAATAAAGATTGCAAAAATATATCTATTTTTGATTGTCAATGAAAGGTGTGAATAATTCTTGCAATCTTCAAGAACTGGGGACACTGGAGAGATATTGTATCTCCTGGATTGAAATGACTTGTCGATGACTACAACAATTTAGGCAAACTTTTACACGAGCTTCATATCAGTAAGCAGTTTAATGACCATTGTGTCCATTATGTTCTGAATTAGATATCTTCAAAAGGTCCCATATAACAACCAGATTCAGCACCAAATTAGGCAGGATGAATCTGAAATATTTTTGTTTTATGATGATGAGAAAAAGACACTTTGAAGATTTTACACATGGTCAGTTTGCATAACGCCACATGAAGTAGGGAAAAGATTCAACAATGTTCATTTAATCGCGGAGTTTCAGCACTTTTCCGATGGCAATTGTTTTGCCTTCATCTCTAAGAGTAAATCGACCCATTTGTGGAAAGTCTTTGAATGTTTCTAGGCAAATTCGACCGCCATTAATTTCTAATCTAGCTATGGCAATCTGATCCTGTTTGATAAATCTAGGTTTTGTGGCGATCTTTTTCCCGGTCTTCTTATCTAGAAGGCAGAATAATGACGTAATGGTAGCCTCTTCCGAGCAGGAGTGTATGTGTAAAACACAGCTATAACCAGCACAGATAATGGATTTGTATTCTAATATAACAATCTGAGCATCAAATATTTTTGAGGTATGGCAGAGATTACTAGGCGAACATAAAACAAATCCTTGAGAAACGTCGTCTTCTTCCACTCCTCCCAACTTAAGTTTAACGTTTTCCCCAGGCCACGCCTCATCAGCATCATCTTCATCCGACCAGATCTGGGTAACTTTCACAGTTTGTTTATTTGGCATCAGCAATAGTTGAAGATTTTTAGATATTACTCCAGATTCTATTTTTCCTAATACAATTGTTCCCATGTCTTTGTAGCGATCAGCAATAGGTAATCGAACAGGGGCATTCACATCTCTTTCAAGAGGTGCGAACTCATCCAGAAAATTAAGTAATGATGGACCTCGGTACCAAGGACAGATGTCTTCTGACACGGTTTCTTTCAAGAAAGCTCCTGTAAGACCAGAGCAAGGCATGAAAAAAATGTCAGTTTTGGGGTTAAAACCACATTTCTTCAAATAGGGTACCAGCTTTTCTTTACATTCATTATATCTTTCTTCCGCCCACTCAACCGTCGGGTCATCCATCTTGTTTATTAATACAACTAAATGTTTAACCCCAGCCGTTTTCACCAACATAGCATGTTCTCGGGTTTGACCTCCTCTTTCAAATCCAGTCTCAAACTCTCCTCTTCTGGCAGAAATGACCAAAATGGCCAAATCAGCTTGTGACGCTCCGCCAATCATGTTAGGAACGAAGCTCTTGTGACCAGGAGCATCGAGAATAGTGAAATGTTTTTTATCCGTCTCAAAATAGGCCCTTCCTACTTCAACAGTTTTACCCTTTTCTCGCTCTTCGGAATTTGTATCTAATGCCCATGATAAGTACCAAGATTCTCGATTTTTCTCTTTGGCTTCTCTTTCATATTTTTCTAGTGTTCGTTTATCTACCATGCCGGTTAGATATAATAAATGGCCACCTATCGTTGATTTTCCTGCATCAACATGACCTATAAATACTATATTGATATGTTCTTTTCTTTCGACGACAGCCGATTCATCATCATCAGTTGTTTTTTTTACCGCCCCTTTTGCTGCTGCAGCTTTCTTGACTGGTATTACCTCCTCCTCCTCTTCTTCTTCGTCTTCTTCTTCATCCAATTCATCAACCTTCTCCCAATCATTGGATTCCGCGGATTGCTTTTCTGCGGAACTGCTACTTGGCTGCTCATTATCTTCTACTGGTGATGAATCATTCACTTTGTCATTTACCTCGTCGGGTGGGGTTTCATCTGGCGAGGGCGGAACATCTTCTTTGACAACCGTTTCTTTCTTCACATTTTTAGCTTCTTCTTCTGGTTTACCCATACTAAAGGGTGGGGCAAACACATTTTGTCCTGGTACAAAAGTAGGGGCGTTTACATTTAAAGCGCTTAGAGGTTTAGATAAGTCAGTGTTTGGATCTCCACTGCCACTACCAACATCATCCCAAGCGTCTGGGACAGCATCGTGACCATTCTCAGACGACATTTTGCATCAAATATGGAGAAATATGTATGTTCTGAATTTGGCAGATGACACGTGACCACCTTTGTCTCAATATTTCGTCAAAACCAAGAGTCTGAACACGAAACAGAGTTTCACTCAATATATCAGTTTGTTTACAACGTATTCAGCTCACACACGTCAAATATGCAGATTTCAGAAGATAGAGAAATTATTTCACAATGCCAAGAAACAGCATACCAAAAACGTGGTTCTAATGTCTCTAAATTACGACCTTGACCTCCGATTATTCACTCCGGGCCTATTAAAACCTGTAAAACTTATCACACGTGAACAGATAGATTCTCGTATACACATCCCAGACAACGATAAAAAGAAAAGCACTTTGATTTGAACGTATTTTATTCCCGAATTATAAAATTGTTCATGTTTTTTCTGCGCGTCTAAACCGGATGTTTACGGAAAATACCGGATACTGCCGAATGCCACGTTAACATTAGAAATCGCACTTGTTTTCCTCTTCGTACCACGTTGAAGTTGAATTGAAACAGATATGTGGTTAAAGATGGATTTTTTACAAGTTTTTATAGTCATCTTAGCAATATGTTTGTCCAGTATAGACGCAATTATGTTTCATTTATCTCCTAACCAGAAAAAGTGCCTTCGTGAGGAGATTCATAAAGATGTGTTGGTAACTGGGGTTTATGAACTGTCCGACGCGCCTGGACAAAAAACACATTTGACTGTAAGTGGTGCCGTTGAACATGTTTTTGGCTTTTCAACTCGTTTCTTTAGGAAGCTATGTATTTGTTTTTTTGGTTATTTTTATCGACGTATTTGATTTTACGTAACATACATATAGACAAATGAAATGAATCTTTAATTAATATTTAATTTGAATATCAATCATACTACTAATACTAGGCCTTAGGTTAGGCCATACCGCGGCACACCGGTACATTAAAGTCAGGGTTCTCTGATAAACTAAGCTTAGAATAAATTTGCGGAGTGATTCAACACAGGAGCTTTAGATAATGGGGGGGTGGGTGGATGGCCGAATGGTTAGCACATGCGTGCTGTATCATAAGGCCTGTCACTCATTGAGTCAACTGGCGTGGTTTCGAATCCCCGGTTGTACGTGACAAGGAGTAGGGTCGCCTGTCCAGCCTCATGGGTTTTCTACGGGTCCTCAGGTTTCCTCCCACTGCTAAAGACCCCTACGCGCACGCAAATTATTGAAATAAAATTAAACCATATGTTAGTCCCGAAATTACCAAGTTTGTGTTGAGTTGACGGTAAACCCCCTCTCTCTCCTTAGATAATGCATGTAAGATCTTTCATTGCTTTTGATCACATGCCTATTCTAAGGAGTAGGTTAGCCATGGTGGCTCAGTGGGTAATGTGTTGGCTCGCTAACCAGGAAGTCCCGTGTTCAATCCCTTCTCATTGATGTAGGACAGAGGGCCTAGCAGAGAATGTATAGTCATTCGGATGGGATGAAAAACCAAGGTCTTGTGAACACATTGACGTGCACTTAAAAGAACCCTTGACAGTTGGAATTCGAAAAAAAATAAAGTAGGCCGTCGCGCTGCTGTCAGGGAAAAATTTCCTTCATAACACACTGCATGGCATAAGCCCGATTGCCCGTCTTCATTAGACTGGGGGGGGGGTTGGATGGCTGAATGGTTAGCGTGTGCACGCTGTATCATAAAGTCTGACATTGAGTCGAATGGCATGGTTTCGAATCCCCGGTTGTACATGGCAAGGAGTAAGGTCGCCTGTCCAACCTCGTGGGTTTTCTCCGGGGCCTCCGGTTTCCTCCCACTGCTAAAGACCCCTACGTGCAAGCGAATTATGTAAATAAAGTTAAACCATATGTTAGTCCCGAAATGACCTAGTTTGTGTCGAGTGGACGTTAAACCCCATTTCTCTCTCTCTCTCATTAGACCAATAAGAGCAGACCAGTAGGACACTAAACCCCATTTCTAAGGAATAATTTCATATGAACTGTATAAGGAGTAGGGTGGCCTGCCTAATTTCATTTGTTTTCTTTTCGTCTTCCCGTTTCCTCCCACTGCTAAACAGTAACAGACACATGCATGCAATCAAATTATTGAAATAAAATAGAGTAGTCCCGTTTGTGTTGGGTCGATGAATATCCTGAATTAAATTTCAGGTACAGATAAAATCGCCATTTTGATAGTGTCTAAATAAAGGCGGGAGTATATTTTCTTTGGATGGATAATATACATGTAGATTTCTGCATAAATAGATTGAATTATATTTTTTGATTTTAGGTGACAGACTCTAAAGAACATATTTTATATTCTAAAGAAGGTGCTACCAAAGGAAAGTTTGCTTTTACAACTGAGGAATATGATATGTTTGAAGTTTGTTTTGAAACCAAGATGCCAGGAGGTAGGTCTATATTAGATTATTGAACATATTTCAATATTAAAATGATAAAGAACATTATTAAGTTAATATAATTCACACAGAACGAGGAGTTTAAATCCTTTGTGGTTCGAGACAAATTCTTTAGATCATAAGGTCAGTCATTAAGTCAAGTGACATGGTTTTCTGTGTGTTTATCCAGATTTCCTCCGACCACTTAAGCAAATGATTAAAATGATATTGTGTCATATCCCAAGATGACCGTGTTTGTGTCATGTGGACTTATCCCCTGGCCTTCTCTCTCTATCAAAATGCTCAAAGTACCGGTACTACTTTGATAAGACATTAGACATTAGATAAGACAGATACCCTTTTCATTCCTTTATTTAGTACTTTTAGGAATGAAATTGGGTTTAACATCTTTAATTTCTGCACTACATGGATTAAATAAGACAGACTATGCAGTGTGCTACATGGTTAAGACACATATACACTATGCAGTGTGCTACATGGGTTAATTAAGACACGACATATACACCATGCAGTGTGCTACATGGGTTAATTAAGACATATATATACACCATGCAGTGTGCTGCATTGGTTAATTAATAGGATACATATACACCATGCAGTGTGCTACATGGGTTAATTTAGACACGTATGCAGTGTGCTACATATACAAGTTTATTATACCCAGATAAGTGATATAACTAGCATAATTTCTGTCAGTGGATTTTTTTAATGCGAAGCCAATAGTATACCCGGTATATGAGATCTCGCTTTCTTACCAGACCCTCTGTCCTACACCACTGACAAGGAGAAAACAGGAATGAAAAGCCTGATAAATTTCTCGACCAACACAAGAATTGAACTTGGGAACTTGTGGTTAGTTATCCAGGGCCTTACTCTGTGAACCACCATGGATCACATTGATATATTATATTTAATAGCTGTGATCTTATTTCAAGAAATGATGAAATGTGAGATTATCATGATTGTATTGTAATTATTTTTTGTAGGTGGACAAGGTGTAGATCGTGAAGTTTTACTCAATCTTAAACATGGTATAGAAGCTAAAAGTTATGATGATGTAAGTATCTGTAGTGGTAAAAGCAATTAATGACATCAGTGTGAACTTTCCTTCATAAAATGTTTGAGCAAGTTGGTTTAAGGTCAGCTTCCACAAAGGGAAATATCAATAGGATGTTAAAAAGACCTCAGAGGAGTTTAAAGATACATTTGCCTATTGCAATTCTTTCTCTAGGCCTTAAATGTTATATAAGGCTGACCTTAAAAATATCTTTGTTTCGCCTAACGCGACCGACTAACTAAAACCACCCCCGACTTAAATTATTTTATTGCACTTTTCCGCACGATCGTTAAAAAAAGTGTTGAGGGAGTTTCTGGCAATTCGTGTGCGAGTCGTGCATCACGAAAAATCCTGATGTCATTGATTTGTTTGACAATAAAAGAAGACAAATGTTTGCACCCGGAAAATTATCAAGCTGTCAAATTAGCTCTTAAAAAAAAATCTGAAAAAAACCCCGACCTACCGACCCTTCTCCTCGATTGTGGGTCGGGTTTGGTGAAACAAAGATATTTTTAAGGTCAGCCTAAGTAGACATTTATTAACTTGCCAAGACCATAATCAATTCTCGATGCCATCTGTTGTTCAATATTTTCAACGGATTTAAACATGATTGAGAGTTAATGATTTTATTAAGAAATGTATAATTGAGGCTTTGTTTACTATCGTAACAATGAAAGCAATGACAATCAAGACCTCGCTATATTCTTCAAACAGTCCTAACGTCGCTCAGAATAAAGTAATTTGACTGAAATTTTTGTTCTGATTTTAGATAGCAAAAGCTGAAAAATTGAAACCTTTAGAAGTAGAATTGAGAAAGTTAGAGGATTTGTCTAAATCTATAGTAGATGATTTTGCTTACATGAGAGCGAGAGAAGAAGAAATGAGAGACACAAATGGTAAGTATAATATTTATATATTTTACTGTCAAATTGTCTCCGAGTTCAGGCATCACTCTCACAACTGGATTGTGTTGAGTTTGAATCCTGATTTTAAGCCTTAAGAATGGTAAGGCTGATATTGAAAATATATGTCTCCTATTTGAATATTTGGAGCCACAGTGGCTAAGACACTTACTCGCTAGCCTGGAGGTCGTGTATTCGATCCCTGTATTGGCCGAGAAAGTTCATCGGGATTTTCCGACGTGGTTTCTCCTTGTCAGTGGTGCAGGACAAAGGGTCTGACCAGACAGCTGCCTAGTCATTCGGATGGTACAAAAACCTGAGGTCCCGTGTATCCATTGACATGCACGTAAAAGATCCGTCAGCAGTTGGAATTCGATATAAGAGTATGCAAAAGTGCTGCTGCCCGGGCAAAATTTCCCTCATAGCACACTGTATGGTGTATCCCGTCTTCATTGGCTCAGTCAGAGCAGAACAGTAGGACGTTAAACCCCATTTCATGTCATTTCTATTTGAAAGTTTTACCATAATTTTTGGAGTTGTAATGATGTTAAAATTGATTAATAAAATTACCAAATGATTGTAAATTGGTTTTTTTTCAGAATCCACCCACTCTCGAGTAATGTATTTCAGTATTTTCTCCATGGGTTGTCTATTTGGTTTAGCAACATGGCAAGTCCTGTATCTCAGACGTTACTTCAAAGCTAAAAAACTCATTGAATAAATTAAATACTTATTAGGAAAATGTAAATAATTTTACCATCTTGTACAGGCCATCATATTATTTTTGAAATTATTAACATTGGCGAGATAAATTCATTTCATTTAAAAACCTATGTTGATGGATTGTTATCAAATTATTTGTTTGGGTAATTTTTATGTTATCTATTCGTATATATATATGTATTATCAATTGGACGTAAAGAAATTCATATATTTATTATGCCTTTTGGCCTTAATTATGAAAATTTAAACTGAAATATTTTAAGGATACAGGATTTTCATTGGTTAAGGGATGGCCGAATGGTTAGCATGTGCACGCTGTATCATAAGGTCTGTCATTGAGTCAACTAGGATGGTTTCGATTCCCCGGTTGTACGTGACAAGGAGTAGGGTCGTCTGTCCAATCCCGAAATGACCTAGTTTGTGTCGAGTGGACAGACGTTAAACCCCATCTCTCTCTCTCTCATTGTACAAATTTCAGTTCTTAAAATATTTTCTTTTCAAGTTTTCGTGAATAAGGGCCCAGGATGTTAAAAAATTTGTAGAAATAATTTAAAAATATAAATATGAGCGATATACCGGTAAAACAGAGTTATAGATCAGAAATATCAAACTGATCAGCAGTGAATATTCGCTAGTCGGCTACAGTCATTGATAGAGATGACATCGAAGCAACTTAATGAACCCCAAATATTAACTTTTTTCCTTCTGCAAATAACATTTTAAAACATTTTTTTCAAGCCTTAGAAAAATAAATTAAGGTGTTTGAAGTATTTGTAGGTAAACAATATTTCCTATTTAGTGTAAATGGGTGTGTAAAATGAGTAAACAGCACCATTCTGCCTGAACCAGTAATGTCTTATGTAAACAATGCACGCGCCATTAGGCCAATGAATGACGCCGTGTGATGTGACGTCACATGATAAAGCAGTAATTTTTTACAGAGCTATTAGTCTACGCAGTACCTCTGTAAAACAAAGTTATAGAAATGTATAAAATAGTCACCAGTAATTTATCATATATTAATCAGTGTAGTTGCTAGTGCTCACATTGATACTGATTTATTTTACTGTCTGAGTATTCCATGGCATTATTGAAATAATATTGAACCACAGGTTAGTCCCGAAATGACCTCTTTTGTGTTGAGTGGATGTTAAACCCCATTTCTCTATGGCAATATTTGATTTAAGTGAAATGATCAGTTTTGGAACAGCATTCTCAAAATTTCTAGAAAATATATATCTGTCAAATCAATGTAATTAATTTATCTCGATGTTTTTTTAAAAAAAAAATCAGTTCCAATAGATTTAAAATACTAATTTTATTTTAGTGTTTGTGTGATCACTAACTTGGTGACCTACCAGTGATGTAATTTTGCAAATGATCAGTGTCAATACTGGTCATTGGTCATTTAATAAAAAGTATGATAGGGCATAGTATCTTCATGATATATTTATTTGTTTCAACAGTTTATATGATAAACAGATTATTAACAATATACTATACTATGTTTTAAACAACAAATTATGATAATAATAATTTATATGAATTACCAGCAATATAGAGAATTAAGATCAGCTAAATTAATGAATGAAAATTTTTTATTAATGTTTTGATGTTTCTTTGTGTGTCGATTTTGTAGAATTAGTAAACATTTGGATCGGAATGTTTCTCAGCGTAATAAATGAGTTTGAAATATTACTATTTAATACTGCAATGTAATATGGGCAGCACCAATTAACATCACATTGTGGTCATTTTGTATCTAGAGTACTTGTGTTATTTCTTTGATTGTTGGGTCTTCCTGGAACTATTTATTGTGGTTCTATGAAGGCTTGTTGCTGCATAAAAATTTAGATTCAAACAAATAAGATAATTTTATATTGTTTGATATTGGATGAATGAGGAAACTGGAGATCAAATGTTTAAATTATATATTAATATATATCTTTGTAACTATGGTAACAATACGAATATCTACATGGTAGTTTGCATCTTAATTAATGTATCCTAAAAAGAAACCTAAACACATTTACAAATGATTGTTATGGATGATGGTTAATGAATATTTATTTTTACCTTGAATGTATGTTTCCAGAAGTCAGAACCTCACTTCTGCCATCCAAGTGGCAGATACACAAGATGATAAAACAATTTAAGTTCGATGTCTGCTTTTAACAGAAACTGGTATTAACATATCTTTGACAGGAGACACATACAAAAAAAAGAGCCAAAACCCCTACTTATTTAAATCAGGGCTTTTAGGTTAATTAAGAAGGTTTTAATTGGGAGGTGGTATTTGTTGTATATAATATTGTGTAGTTCAGTAGTTATCATGCTCTGTACTCATTGGTTAGGTTTGAAATAGCTGAAAAGGAATTTTCTACTTTCATTTTTTTAGAAATTTTCCTCAAATGCTGTAAATGTTGCTTTCTACTATTCTGTTCATTTCTCTGCATTTTGTTAGCTCAATTTGTAGTAATGGAAAATGAAATTTTCATCCTGATGTATAATTTCCGTTACGTTAGATTTCACTATTTATGTTGTAAGTGTGGATATCCTTTCTTCAATAAATACTGTTTGTAAAAAGAGAATCTGTTTTTTATTTAAAATTTTACCCAGGATTTACCTGGGCCCTTATTCACGAAAACTTAAACTAAGTTACAACCAAAATTTTAAGAAATACTGCAACTTCATTGGATATATGCAAATTGATTTTACTAGTCAGCCAATCGAATTGCAGTATTTCTTAAAATTTTGATTGTATCTTAGTTTAAGTTTTCGTGAATAAGGGCCCTGGTCTTAAAGGATCTAAATCGCTAATAATTGGGACCTAGAAATTGACAAAAATGGGTCGCAACGCATATAATAGTGTAATATGAATGTATATAAACTGATTTACATTCAATCGTTTCTGTTTTTACTGTAATTTCTAATCAGTTATGTTCTGCGAAATACGGCAGAAGTCTCATGTGAATGGCAATCTTTAGCGTCTGGTTTTTCTAGTCTACACGGATGGTATTTATTGCGCATGCTCTCCAGATAAGAATATAGCGTCACCATTTGAGGTGACTTGTGAAATATGTCTAGCCCTGTTCTTTGAGTCCCTTGTTCCAAATGGCACTGAAACGCATTATGGTACACGATTTGTGTACCAATGGTAAAATGTTTATTTTGTCTTGAATATTGGATAACTGAAGCCCATCTTTTCCCTGTAAGATCACAAGACCAATGTTGATTTGAATTGACAAATAATTCGTGTTTTCAATGTCGAAGATGTTTGATGATATTGAGTTAGAGACTTAGCTACTTTAATAATCCAATCTGTTAATCAAGGTCTCAATGTGTTCTTACATTATTATTCTTACTGATAGAATGAAATAGACTTTAATGTCCTATTTTTTTGCTCTAGCTGGAATTTTGCCCGGACAGCAGCGCTACAGCTTACTTTTATTTCAACTGTCAATGTGCAAACCTCCGTTTTTCATCTCACTAACTACTAGATACCGTTTCTTGCAAGGCCCTCCATCCTACACAACTGACAAGGTGGGGGGGGGGGAAACTACTGCAGAAAATTCTGAGGAACTTTCTTGGCCAACACTAGGATTGAACCCGGGACCTCTTGGTTAGCGAGCCAGCGGCCTACTCACTGATGTAGTCTTAATTAATGACAGGCCTAAAAATAACGATATGATTACATGTTCCTGTATTAAAAATATCAATAAAACACAGTAAATGAACAAATCTGTTGTGGACAAAAACAACCTGCATCAGAGAGAGTGAAATGAAGTTTAACATCCACTCGACACAAACTGGCTCATTTTGGGACTAACATGGTTCAATTTTATATTCAATAATTCGCTGTAGGTGTCTTTGGAGTGAGTGGGAGAAGAGGGGGGGGGGCTGTTTTTACCATCAGCAGTCCATTACAAATCCCCGGCATTTGAAAATTGAGCCAAATTTCCCTCTCAGTCACTACATGACATACACATACACATCATCATTAGTCTAGTGAGTCAAATTTCCCTCTCAGTGCACTATATGACATACACGTCATCATTAGTCTGGTTGAGCCAAATTTCCCTCTCAGCGCACTACATGACTTCCCATTTTCATTACCCCAGCTCATTCAAACTGACAATTTTTAATTTCTAGAGAATATTTTATTAATAACAGATTTTATAATGGAATAAGGCAAATCTTTTTATGGAGAGTCGTAATAGTTTAATTTTAGACTGCCATTCCCTTTACACAGTACAAACCCAGCTGCTGTTAAATGAACCATTTCCATAAGTGTGAGTGGGTTGTGTTTTTTATATCAGAATAACTGGCTGGTACTATGTAAATTGATCAACAGTCTTTATATACAATAAAATCAATCCAAGCTCAATGCCATTGACATGTCACATATAGCTCTGATGACGGTAATTGAAATGATAAAACTTCTGCAAACAATGCTCGATTTATGCAAATTTCTGGGCAGGGACATTTTGACTAATCCGTGTAGCATGTAGTCTAAGCCTTTTGTGACATCACGTCATTGCATAACTGGGTCAGAAATGACAAAACTTCTGCAAACAAGGCTTGATTTATGCAAATTTCTGGGCAGGGACAATTTGACTAATCTGTGCAGTCTAAGCCTTTTGTGACATGTTATTGCACAATTGGATGAAAAAATTACCGAAATCAGAGATAAAAACCATAACAAAGTGAATTTGACTTTGTGTAAAGATTGAACAAATATGGTCATTACCATAATTAAATATAACAAAGTGAATTTGACGCTTGTGTTAAGATTGACAAAATATGGCCATTAATTGAATATTACAAACAAAGCCTTATTATAAGTAAGATAGAAACATATATAAGGTTAACATTACATAGAGTGAACTAATTACTACACATACAGTATACAATAATATATTGGGACTTGGAATAGATATATATATATATATAGAAGCTGTCTGTTTCAGAGTGGTCTGGGTCCAAGCCTCATTTAATACACTTTCCTTACAATAGATAGAGAGAAATGTTGTTTAACGTCCACTCGACATAAACTAGGTCATTTCGGGACTAACATATTCAATTTTATTGCAATAATTCACTTGCGCGTAGGAGTCTTAAGGACTGGGAGGAAACCGGAGGACCCAGAGAAAACCCACGAGATTGGACAGGTGACCCTAGTCCTTTTCACATACAACAACGGAAGCGAAACCAGAGGGTTTACATATAGATGTAAATATAGTATTTTTATTAGTCATTGTCTTCTTTATGTATGCTGATTCGAATAATGAGGGTTATCGGGTTCAAAATGCCATCTTAAAAAAAATCAAAAGTAAAAGAGTAAATTTTTGTTTAGATACAATAAAATCTTATCTTACATACATATGTTAATTTGACATTCCATGGCTTCAGACGCCAAATAAGATCCACTCTGAAACAGAACAAACATCCACGAATTGGAATGCAGCAATATTATGCCAAGAAAAACAACATCACAAGATACAAGTACACAAAATTTATATCCCGGTGTAGTGGTGTAGTGGCCGTTTGATTTGGTTCCTGGTTACAGAGCCAAACAACGTACTCAGCCCAACCTGGTAACGAGTTAAATCACGACACACAGATGACTTGTTTTTGTGTTCTATTCTTTTTGACTTGAAATTACAACAAATTGTACAATGATTGACTTAAATTGTACAATGATTGACATAAAATTGTACAATGATTGACATAAAATCGTACAATGATTGACATAAATTGTACAATTATTGACATAAAATTGTACAATGATTGACATAAATTGTACAATGATTGACATAAAATTGTACAATGATTGACATAAATTGTACAATGATTGACATAAATTGTACAATGATTGACATAAAATTGTACAATGATTGACATAAAATTGTACAATGATTGACATAAAATTGTACAATTATTAGGACATAAATTGTACAATTATTAGGACATAAATTGTACAATGATTGACATAAATTGTACAATGACTATGACATAAATTGTACAATGATTTGACATAAATTGTACAATGGCTATGACATAAAGTGCCTAATACTTGACTTAAATCAATTCAACATTTTTAAAATATGGCAATGATAAAACAAATGCGTAAGTTGATATAATAATCATCATTTCAATCTGATTAAAATACAGATCCTATTTCGTTTTGTTTTTTATAGTTCAAAATTTCATTTTACTAGGTGTGGGCCATCAAAAGTATAAAAAAAGGAAACGAAATACAGACCTGTATTTTAATCAGATTGTCATCATTTAAGTAGAAATATTCCTTAAACTAAAAAGATCATTCATCTATTTAATAATATCAAATCACTTCTGCATTTTGGAGTACATGAATAACATGTGGACAGACATCCTTGGTATTCCCAGTGGTATCGTTCCATTCTACTCCCCTAACCCCTAGGTACATACCCAGGATGGTAGACAGATTAATTCCTCATAACAAAACACAACACAGGGTATATATGAATACAACTACTTCTATTATTTAATAACGACGTTTCGTAACACATACAGGTCATGTTTTCAAGTTAATGATAAATGTCCATTTAGTCAGCCTATTTTTACATATTTTGGCTTACATCAAATTGATTTCATTGATCAATTATAGTGTCACATTTCTGACTAGATGCATATTTATCATTAACTTGAAAATGTGACCTGTTATGTATGTGTTACATACGAAATGTTGTTATTAAATAATAGATAAGTAGTTATATCCATACATACCTTGTGTTGTTTTTGTTATGAATAGTTAACCAAACTTTTAGATGTCATTCAAAGGATTAATTCCTGATAACTTAAAAAGAAGTTTAAAAATTCTTTAACTAATTCTAAAATGTTCAAATATATACCGGTACCATATAAGCCTCTATAAATTCTTTGATAATGATGTTAAATATCTACAGAGATTGGTTTCCATTAATTGAGAGAGATATAAATAAATAGTTTTACATGGAATAAAATACATTTTATATAGAACTAATTTATAAATATCACAGTGCAGACATTTTAATATAATATTTAACAATCTTAAAATCTATCAACTCAAAAGGCTAAATATACATTGTTTATCTTTTAAAATCTATTAACATATTATTACATTGTACCTAAATAAAAAGCTAACTATACTAAACACCAACGGACATAAATATACATATAGTGCACGTTTCAACAAATCTTCTTTCCCCTGCTTGGGACAAAATGACTGGGCTAATGAAGATGGATGACAAACCAGTATCAGTGCTCAGCCATTAACTCAAGGGGACTAAATATATTAGGTTTAGTTGTCCGATATAGGGATTATGCCTGTTCCCTGATCTCTCCCATTCATTTGCAATGAATATTCCAGTGGATAAAATGTATCTTATAAATTCATGTTTTTTATTTTTTTGTAAAATATTTATCTTCGATGTAATTTCATCTACCTAGACTTAGAGAGAGAGAGAGAGACACACAAACTAAGTCATTTCGGGACTAACACATGGTTCGATTTTATTTCAATAATTCGCTTGCGCGTAGGGGTCTTTAGCAGTGGGAGGAAACCGGAGGACCCGGAGAAAAACCACGAGATTGGACAGACGACCCTACTCCTTGCCACGTACAACCAAGGATTCGAAACCACACCAGTTGACTCAATGACAGACTTTATGATACAGCATGCATACGCTAACCATTCAGTTATCCAACCCCCCTAGACTTAAGGTGACATCAATAAGCACTATGGAGGTCTTTTTGGTCAATAAAAAAAATAAAATGTTGATTTGAACATACAGTTACAATGCATATTCTCAAAACTGGAGATAAATTTGCCAATCCATGGTGTAGGTAGATATACAAGTGTCAAATTTTAATTTACGGCCTGTACAAACGTTTTACGAGTTAAATGGAGGCTTGTGAAAAAAAAACACCTTAGTTCAGCCTTAAATTTTAGGGGAATCCAAGGTTGTTTTGAATATGATGTTACTACGAATTAATTCCACTTAAAATACAGATGTGACGTCACCCTTTGATGTTGGCACACCATTATTTCAAATAATGGTACGGGCAATGTGCTAAGCGTACATTATTTATACAAGTTGAAATTTTGGACCTGCTTGACATATTTCATTGAAATGCACACGCTGGATAGTGTCTGTTTTTTAAGTTGTTTAAATAAAGTCTTGTGTAATATATAACCCCTCGTGCAATATGAATATATTACTTAATGCCTCGCACTCGACCATTAAACTACACTTATTATCTTGGTGAGAATGATATGATACATAGTAGATAGCAACCGCTTTCCAGGTTCGTATTCGAAATTAAAATCTGAGGGTGTAGCTCCGTTTTAAGGTTGTTACTTGAAATAAAAACCCAAGGGTTGGAGCCTGTCGGTTTATTTTAAATAACATGCGTGGAAATAGATTGCTATCTGACTTACACATTGACACAAACATGTGCATAAGCAATTTAACCATGTGCACTCTGGGTTCTTGGGGGTGTGGTTATTGGAGTTTAATAATACCTCAATATCAACCCCTAATGACTTTATATAAGGTTGATACAGGGAATAACCAACTTAAAACATCAATAGTTGCTGTGGGAGATATAACCTGCAGGTGTGTAAACATCAATAGTTGCTATGGGAGATATAACCTGAAGGTGTGTAAACATCAATAGTTGCTATGGGAGATATAACCTGGGTGTGTGTAAATACCAATAGTTGCTATGGGAGATATAACCTGGAGGTGTGTAAACATCAATAGTTGCTATGGGAGATATAACTTGGAGGTGTGTAAATACCTGTAGTTGCTATGGAAGATATAATCTGGACTTCAGGTCCTGGAGGTATGTAAACATCATTAGTTGCTATGGGAGATACAACCTTGAGGTGTATAAACATCATTAGTTGCTATGGGAGATATAACCTTGAGATGTATAAACATCAATAGTTGCTATGGGAGATATAACCTGCAGGTGTGTAAATCTTCTTAATAAATGATAAATAGGAGGATATATATTATGTACAATAAATAATCATCTAACATAGATACACAGAACAATTCTACAAAATTACCACAATCACATTTATATAACATAAAACAAAAGTAGGTTGCATCATTTGCCATATAATCTTGAAAATCATGCTGTGATCTATTCAATTTTCTCACAATTGTCGATTTCCTGAACCCCTTAAATATAATTTTATTCTCGTTTAGTTCTGCAGTTTCTATTTTTTCAACAAGCGGAGTAAACAGAAACTGGGACAGCAAGATTTTCACCGATTTTAAAATAACGGGGCAACAGATGAACCCTAATCCAAGGGTTTACAAAATAAAATCATAGAATTCCTCTAATGTCTTGGTTTGGTCATTTTAGCAAGCTGAGATTGACCAAGTGCGGCTGCAAATTTCGTAATAACGCTGTCATAACCGGCTTTCTTCGCAAGATCCAAAGGCGTCTCTCCTCTGTCATTTTTACGATTCTGATCAGCTCCATTTCTAAAATTTATCAACAAAAGAAAGAAGTTATTTTTATTTAGTTAATTCAAACAAATTGAATTCCTATTACAGTACAGGTTTCTAAAATTTATTCAAATAAATGAAGTTATTTCTATTTTAGTTAAAATAACATTAAACAGTATAAAATAAATAATATTGAAGTTCTAAATAAATAATATTAAACAGTTTCAAATAAATAACTTGAAACAGTTTCAAATAAATAATTTAAAACACCTTCAAAAAATTAATTTAAAACAGTTTCAAAAAAATAATTTAAAACAGTTTCAAAAAAATAATTTAAAACAGATTCAAAAAAATAATTTAAAACAGTTTCAAATAAATAATTTAAAACAGTTTCAAAAAAATAATTTAAAACAGTTTCAAATAAATAATATTCTTACGAGTACCAAATGTTGTAAAATCTGATTTCTTATTTGCATGAATTAGCAACATCAACTGTCAAAAATCACACAAGAGAGAGAAAAATAAGGTAAATCGTCCAATCAATAAAAACTAGGTTATTTCAGTTTAGCAGTGGAAGAAAACCTAAGTAGGCTACCCAGAGAAACCCACGAAGTTAGTCAGGCAAAATGGACGTCTTGTGCTAAATCTAGTTGTTAAGGCCAGCTCAATTTTTGTTAAGGTCGCCGAGATGTAAATAAGGTTAGGGCACGTGATTGTTGGCGAGATTGTAGGTTAAGGTCAGCATTGGGGCTAGGTCCAGGGTTAGGGTTCGGACACCTTGTCACCCTTAAGCCTGGGATTGAAGTTACAACATCCGACACCATGCCAGTGGTAGAGCTTATGATATGAAGCCCCTACCATAAACACATGTAGTCATCCAGCCCATCCAACAGCACAACACACCTCCTCATGGCCAAAAGATTTTGCTGATCAAGGATAATACAAAATGGGTATAGACGCCCCAATGCTGGATTTTTCAGGTACTCTGTTAATGTATTATTACGTTACAGATTGGACTTATTCTGTGGAGTATCTATAGGACATATTGTTAATTTGAGACTCGGATTAATTTACTTACTCTAAGAGAACATCTATAACTTTGAGACCTGATGGTCCTAAATTAACAGCTTCATGTAAGGCAGTGTTTCCTTTCCTGAAATAAAACATCAATCATAGTTATATTAATAATGGAGGGAAGTTACAGGAATGTTACCATGGAAATAGATGTATTATCAACATGTTAAAATGTTTTATCCTCTTGCTACTGGTCACTATGGTCAGCAGAAATGAAAGGATGTTTAATGTCTTATTGTTCTGCACCAACTGGGATAATGAAGATGGGCATACGCCATACAGTGTGCTATGAGGGAAATTTTGCCCGGGCAACAGCACTACGGCCTACTCTTATATTGAATTCCAACTGCCAGGGGATCTTTTACGTGCACATCAATGTGTACATGGGACCTCAGTTTTTCATCCCATCCAAACGACTAGACAGCTGTCAGACCCTCCGTCCTGCACCACTGACAAGGGGAAACCATGTCCAAAAATCCTGATGAACTTTCTCGGCCAATGCAGGGATCGAACATGCGACCTCCAGGCTAGCGAGCCAGCGTCTTACCCACTTAGTCACTGTGGCTCCCCCACAGGAAATACTCATGCGCTAAGCATAATAAAATAAGACAACATGTTTGCGATATCAACATCGGTTGAAGAGGACATTAAACACTAAAAGAAGAAGTTATTGACCAAGTAGTGTCAACTCATGAAGGTATGATGATAACTCAACACCTAGAGGAAACCAAGATGTGGAAACCATGCCTCTTGGGGGTTAACAAGATGTCATAATAAAGAGACATAACACCAGACAGATTGGCTTTGAAAATAATTTTAAATGACTGATAGACGGCAATAAAAGACTAAAATGGGAAGATATAAAATTAATGGAACTCACAGAGCAGATGGGCCTTTTTTGTTTATATCTAGTCCACCATCAACAAGAACTGGTATACAATCTAAATGTTTATTTCTTACAGCTGAATATATTACTGGTACACCATTCTTATTTACACAATTTACATCAGCTCCCTGTTATCAATCAATCAATAAATCAATCAATCAATAAACACAGTATTTGTATATCACTGAGAGAGAGAGAGAGTCCCGAAATGACCTAGTTTGTGTCAAGTGGATATTAAACCCCCATTCTCTCTCCCTCTTGTTGTCTGTCAATGTTTTTAATTCAGATGATAAATTAAAGAGAATATCTTACCTCATCTAGTAAATGTTGAACTTCTGTTGCTGCACCTTCACCTTCAGATCCAAGTTCTTTTACTAACTGTTGATCTAAAGCCTATAAATAAACAATAGGTTTTATAATAGCTGATGATCTATAAATAAACATTATGTATTATATGCACTGATGAAGCAGATGAACTATAAATAAACTATGTATTATAATAGCTGATGATCTATAAATAAATTTTATGAATTATAATAGCTGATGATCTATTATAAAATTTAAATAAACTATGTATTATACTAACTGATGATCTTTAAATAAACATTATGAATTATAATAGCTGATGATCTATAAATAAACTTTATGAATTATACTGATAATCTATAAATAAACTTTATGTATTATACTGATCTATAAATAAACTTTATGTATTATACTGATCTATAAATAAACTTTATGAATCATAATAGCTGATGATCTATAAATAAACATTATGTATTATACTAACTGATGATCTATAAATAAAGTATGTATTTTTGTTCAATCCAAGACATACAGTATATATATGACTATTTTTTGCTTATTTTTGGCACAATTTTTTTTTGAACATCCATGTGGGAAGTAAATAGATTTAACAAGTCATTTAGAATTAGTGTTTCCACATCACTCATGTGGTCATGTTTTGATGAAAAAATGGAACCACTAGATTTATTTTCTGATTAAGTGGTTACAGATTTTTCATTCTAATATTAAATAAAAAAAATATTTACTGATAATTTTGGTCCGAGCTTCTTCTTGGGTTTACTTTTCTTTGAACCTTTTTTCTTATTTGTTTTGGGCGTCACATTTTCATCACTTTCTGTAAAAAGAATTTTGTATAAAAGAATAACATCTGTGATCTGTTGTTGAACCAGAGGACCCGGAGAAAACCCACAAGGTTGAACAGGCTACCCTACTCCTTGTCACGTACAACCAGGGAATCGAATCCACGGCACGCGCTAACCATTCGGCCATCCAAGCCCCCAAAAAACTCATTAAAGTTAAAACAAAATAACATCATCCATTATTCATCAGGAACCAGATTGTATCAGGTGCTGGCTCACTAAGGAGGTTCCCGAATCGGTCCCAGTGTTGGAAGAGAAAGTTCTTTGGGATTTTCCAGTATGGTTTCCCTATATTAGTGAGGTTCATGATGGAGGGCCTGGCAAGGAAATGTATTTAGTCGGTTGAATAGGACTAAAAACCAAGGTCCATTGCACACGTTGGTTTGCAGGCACAAGAATCTTTGGAAAAACTTCCCTGATAGCGTATTCCTGTCTTCATCAGTCCAGAAGAGTAGGACGTTAAACCCCATTTCATTTAATTTACTCACCATAATCATCAGAATCTGATCTGTAACTATCTATACCATCATGCTCTGTATGTTGACTGAGGTAACCTTGGTGACTAACACCTAACTTCTTGCCCGTCTGTTTATCCGAACCACCTCTCAACGGAAACGTCAATGTTAAACTCATCTCATATCCATCTTCTTGAACCGTTGACGAAATTAACTAAAATAGATAAAAGAGTTATACTTAAATTAGAGACGCACTTAACATTAGTCTTGATCAATCCAGACTAGGGCTGGCAAAAAATATTGATATAGCTGATAATCGCCGGTGACTACGGGAAGATATCGATATTCAGTTCTTGATATCGATACTCGTATAAAAAATAAAGGAGCTTCAATAAAATGAAATTAACAGAATGTTTTGTGTCAAATAATCACCGTCCACCGTCATATTCAAAACATGTTAAAACTACAAACACACACTGAGGTACAACCTCTGCGCCGGTAATTTTTGCGGTCGTTTACAACAATGACAAAGAATAATTAATTAATTGTTATGGGGAAATAACTAGATTTTAATAGAAATTTATTTATTGTTTTAAGTGGCCAAGGAAAATTGTCAACAGCGATTGATGGCGAGCGCAAAGCTGCGAATACGATCAGATAAGCTGTGAACGAAACAAACATTAAAAAGTCATAGTTTGAGGATCATAGTTTTTTTTTTATTTGATCAATAACACATTTAAACATACATTATGCAAGAGCTAAATCTGTCTATTGCAGGTCTTTCTTTAGGCCTGAAATGTTATCTAAATTATTAATTAGACATTGATTAACTTATCCAGACCATAATCAACTCCAGATGGCATCGCTAGCCTGCGATCTTATGTGGATTGTGATCCAAATTACTGCATACATTTCCTTCTCGATTAAACGATTAAATGGATAATCGAGAATATGCTGTTTAACGTACTGACTTTAGTAATGATGACCGAGGCTAGACAGAAATTGCATTCACTTAGTTCTCGGTTCATAGTGGATCAATTTGAAAGAAATTTTCAGCAAATTGCCTTTACGTTATCTAGTTTTTAATTATTATAGTGAGAACTGCCAACTCGTTATCGAATCTCCAATAATATATCTTTAAATACATTATTAGCATTAATCAAGCCTAGTAGAAACGTTGCAAAAATAATAGTAATTGTTATTCCATTTATTTATCTTTTAATTATTTATGTTGGTCAATTACTGTTCTTTTGAATATAAAATTACATTTATTTTTGTTATTAAATTTGTAATGCCTGTCTTTAATTTAGATTTCTATTTTTTACAAATAAACCCACTAATTTGTATATTTCTACTTACTTTCCCCATCTTAGGTTCACCAATCAAAGATCTAAATTCAGGATTATTCTGGGTGTAGATTTTAAGATGTTGACAAATGTGATCTAACTGTTTCCTCCAATAGCCTGAAAATTTTTTTTAAAAATAATTCTTGAATTTAAACCACTTAGCTCATCCCCCCCGATAGCAAAAAAGGCCACAGGTCCATAAACATTTACTAATCCTTGCAAAGTCAGATGCATGACAATACTGTAAAATGAAATGAAATGGGGTTTAACGTTCTACTGTTCTGCTCCGACTGGGCTAATGAAGACGGGCATACATCGTCATACAATGTGCTATGAGGGAATTTTGCACGGGCAGTGGCACTATGGCCTTCTCTTATCGCGAATTCCAACTGCCAAGGGATCTTTTACGTGCACACCAATGTATACACAGGACCTCGGTTTTTCATCCCATCCAAACGACTAGACAGCTGTCCTTGTCAGGCTCTCCATCCTGCACTACTGACAAGGGAAAACCATGTCAGAAAATTCTGATGAACACAAATCTTATGATCTTAACATATAAAGTATAAATCCTAATAACAAACCTCTTCCAGGGCTAACAGGAGTTAATAGAGGTTTACGATCTCGCATCTGTTTCTCAAACGAGGCTCGGTCATCAACCTCTGGTTTATTGGGACCTCGTGATGGGTAGAACAAACCAACTGTTTGGGTTGTAGCATGAACAACTGGTCTTGGTGCTTGCGTCATAGATTGGGATACTGGCAGAAACAAACTCTGTAATAATAAACCAACACATTTTAAATACATGATTTATTACTTGCAATGATTTCGACATCATCGATAGAATACAGCTGGCATCGAAAAAAAGTCTCCAACCATCAATAATTCCCTTTCGCGTAGGGTTCTTTAGCAGTGGGAGGAAACCGGAGGACTGATGATTAAAATACAGATCTATATTCCGTTTCGTTTTTTATATACTTTCAAAGGCCTACATACACTACATGAAGAGCTGACCAATTGTAGTGGAAGGTTGCGCCAGGTGTCATACGAGCGGCTTTTGACTTGATGACGTCAGACATCGATTATAATCAATCAAAGTTCCGTTGACCTCACCCCAAAAACTCGCCGTAACAGACTGTTTCATTGGCTTAAACCCTCACATCATCCAGAATGCGGGTTATATAACAATTCCAGATCCTAGTATAGTAAAGACAAGTAGAACAAAAATTTTGAACTATAAAAAATGAAACGAAATACGATCTGCTTTTTAATCAGATGGGTAAGTATGAAACAAGACATTTATACAGATTAACAATATCAATCTCAAAATGGTTCAATTCCAATTATTATTTACAAATAGTGGTGCGAAGCAAGTGCCACCTATACCCTTCACTTTACAACTGAATCCAAACTGGGAGATACCTACAAATGATATCTGAATTTTGTCTTTTTAAAGATGCATTATGTAATATTTAGATAAAAGAATGGTTGTTCTTGCTATAATAGTTCAAAAACAGATAATTCAAAATTAATATATTGAAAGTTAGCACTGTTTGAAGTTTTTACTAAGATTGTTTATTATCGCAACACTGTTACTTGTTAATCAAGACTCGGCCTCGCTTCTCCATTTTTAAATTAAATTATTAAATGGCAATTGTATTTTAGTCTGTTGACATCTGTACAATTCGATGTCCCAGAGAGTTGATTATGGTCTTGTCATGTTAATAAATGTCTAAATAATAGTTAATATAACATTTGAAGTGAAAATAAAAACCTGTAATAGGCAGATTTAGCTCTTACATAATGCATCTTTAATGACATTTTAAATAATCAATTTGAGTACATTTCAGCGAGGATTAAACTATGGAAAATTAGATATTATATGGAAAAGGCAAACGACAACCAGCAACAGCAGCTTTGAGTTGACATCTTCTCATATAAAAAGTTGTAAGGTAAACAATAGATGAAACATCCACATGGGATAAAACTTGTACAAATATTCAAATTTAATAAAAATACATGATACTTACTTTGCCTGTACCATCCATTCTGAAAAACAAATATGAACATTTTCAGACGAAATTTCCATAAAATGTTTAGATTCAGAGAGAGAGAGAGAGAGAGGGTGAGAGAGAGAGAGAGAGAGAGAGGGTGAGACAAGGGGGTTTAAATGAAATGAAATGGGGTTTAACGTCCTACTGTTCTGCTCCTAACCTGGGCTAATGAAGACAGGCATACGCCTGGCATATGAGGGAAATTTTGCCCGGGCAGCGGCACTATTGCCTACTCTTATATTGAATTTCAACTGCCAAGGGATCTTTTACGTGCATTCCAATGTATACACGGGACCTCAGCTGTCCTTGTCGGGCCCTCCGTCCTGCATCACTGACAAGGGGGAACCACGCCGGAAAATCTGGATGAACTTTCTAAGCCAATGCAGGAATCGAACACCCAACCTCCAGGCTAGCGAGCCAGCGTCTTACCCACTTAGCCACGTGATCCCCGACATGGGGTTTAACTTAAATTAAAATAGTAATTGTGTTCAATATTATGTTTTTGTGTTTTTACATATATGTCAATTGCTAAATGCTGCTCAAAGAAGGTGATTGATTAATTATAGTTTGGACTTACTTGTAGACTGTTCTACCTGGTGCCTCTATTGTAGTACCACATCCACCACAGAATGAACTATAAGGATTATTACTGGAACCACATGTTGAACATTGCAACATACCAGGGCTAGCAGAAGGCTAAAATTAAACACACAATTATTTTATTAATCAACCTGTTCTTGTATAATTTAAACCGGTTTCACAAAACATTCTCAGACTTAAGTTAAGAATTTACTCAAAATTGTTCGCCTTATTTTAACTAAAATATAGCCCTTTTGTTGTTATAATGCAGTGACCGGCCTAGACTCTTAAAACCATTAGCCAAATTTTTAGCCAAATCAAAATTTTATTAGCCAATTCAGAAAGTTTTAGCCAAATTTTATATATCATTTTTTTTCATATGTTTGTTAAATAAAAATGAAAATAAATGTCTAATAAGTCCTTATTTAGTACACAAGAATATTATTTTCTCTCCTTGAATGTCCAAAAGTTCACATTATGGAGAGAATGAATGCAGATAACAAAAACTGTTTATAAGATAGATTACTTTACAGCCACATCCTTTTAAAGACTCCACTGATCAAATGCTCTGACAAATCCAAAATTTATGCTTTCCGACCTTCCATTTTTATAAGCATGAGGTCAATGAGGTAGGTTACTTTTAAATTTGAACGTCAACTGTTTTTAATATAGTTGTGGTGTGAAAACCCCCTCTCTGCATCCACTGTTGTAGGTGGAATAACAAGACTAAGTTTATGTAACTTCTAATTGTAAAATTATAAAACTACCACAACCTACCTTACAACCACACCAATCACAGTATCTAGCATCACCACTGTTCACACGGCTACATTTATTACATCGTAGATATTGAGAATCTGGACTCGACACTGGTGGTGGAGCTGACTTTCCATTTAATATAGCACTCTGATCCAAAAAATAAAACTTTAATATCACACACAATAACTTGGTAATATAGCACTTGGTTACAAAATACTTGGTTAAATAGCACTTTGTTACAAAATACTTGATAATATAGCACTTTGTTACAGAATACTTGGTAATGTAGCACTTTGTTACAGAATACTTGGTAATATAGTACTTTGTTACAAAATACCTGATATCACACACAATTATATGCTTTGGTGGTAAAGATGTCTTGATATGTGATAATTTTAGTGTAGGTTAAGAAATAGTGCTTAACATCCAAACACTAAATACTGGTGGGATATTTTGGTACTTATGTAATATATTTCTAATTCTATAAATTGATGAAAACTGTCCAGATAAGCCTGGCGAACTATCTCTTGTCAAGTACACTGTACAAGCATAGAATCAAACCCACAACTTGCATAGGTAATACAGTGTTTGAGGCGAGACACAGCCGCAGAGATTGTTAGCCACAACGACACTACCTTCTAGGTTTCTAGAACAATTTTCTAAACAAAATGGGGGGGTTGGGCAGTCTAATGGTTAACGCGTACATGTTGATCAGAAGGTCTGTCATTGAGTCAAGTGGCGTGGTTTCGATGTAGGGTCACCTGTCCAACCTCTTGGGTTTTCTCTGGGTCCTCCAGTTTTCCCCCACTGCTTCTATGTGCAGTGTTAGTCCCAAAATGACCTATTTTGTGTTGAGTGGACGTTAAACCCATTTCTCTCTAAACATAATAACTTTAGACTAATTGGAGTGATTTTGATTTTAATAACTTAAACAAATATTGTGCAAGAATCCTAAAATATTAATGGAATAGTCTTTAATCTGGGTATGAATATTCAACTAAAATATGAATCCAAATCTACCTGTTGAGCAGAAGTAGGGAGTCTTGTATTACAAGTCACACATGCAACAAGACTGGACGGATTGGCAGTTCCACATAGCGTACAAATAAGTTTATCTGCCAATCGTACACTGGACTGAGGTTGATTCTGTACTTTGATTGGTCCTTCACAAATAATGCATGCAGATGTATTCATTGGAACTGTTGACTTACAATATACACACGTTCCCATCTGTAAAAATAAATATACAAGTTAATTATATGAGTTAAATATAACTGAATATACTAATATAATTGAATATACGAGTTAAACATAATTAAATATGAGTTATATTTAAAAATATAATTGAATATATGAGTTAATATGACTGAATATATGAGTTAAATATGAGTTAAATATATGAGTTAAATATGATTAAATATATGAGTTAAATATAATTAAATATACGAGTTAAATATGAATGAATATATGAGTTAAATATAATTGGACATATGAGTTTCTTCTATTTCTAGTAAAAAAATATTTCATAGTAAATATTGTGAAAATTTTATTCCGGATTTGAATAAATCTGTCACTGCATGAATAATTGTATACTAATAGACAAAGTCATTTTCATTTTTCAGAAAAAATCAAATTTTCCATGACATAATCCACGCTAAATTGCACTCAGATTGATTATTTAAGTTTCTATTAAGAAAACAAAATCAAAATATCAACGATAAATAATTTCCTGGCCTGGATACAATTAACCGTATCCCATTTCCATTCATTATATCTTTGTAATTACTGTATGGGATGGTAACAATTTGGGAATGACATTCGTTTTACAGATTAAACTTTTATAATACTGTAGTTTGCAAGGGATTCCCCAATCTCTCAAACGACTTTCAGCAGCTTTAATATGAGCCATAAATTGAAATGGAAGGTATTGAATAATAAATATACCTGTCCAGGTTCAGTTGGTGTCAGACGTTTAGGTATATCAGGTAAGGTATTTCCACATGTTGTACAATATCGACAAAATGGATCAGACGGACGATCAGCAAAACAATATATACATCTAGAAAAAAAAACCAAAACAATATATACATCTAGAAAAAATCAAAACAATATATACATCTAGAAAAAACCAAAACAATATATACATCTAGAAAAAAACCAAAACAATATATACATCTAGAAAAAAACCAAAACAATATATACATCTAGAAAAATCCAACAAACTGATAATATATTATTTGGTTTGTCATGAAATATGATACAATACTTAAATAAAGTGGGTCATAATGAGAAATGGTGATTAATCGTACTTTATAATGAGAAATTCTAGCTATTGTGTAACATTATATAACTTCCGAAAGAATCATAACTTGTATATACCCTTTATATCCTTGTGCAGAAATCAAATGAACTGAAATGGGGTTGAACGTCCTACTGGTATCAGCAGATTGCATGTTTCTCACTAAATCCATGCAATGTAGACAGGCAAACACAATGCAGAGTACGACGGGGGGAATTTTGCTCAGACATCAAAGCTTCCATTTACAACTGTCAGCAGAACTTTAATTTGCTGTCAATGGCGTGTAAGGGACCTCGGTTTTCCTTGACATCCAAATGATTAGACGCATTTCCCCGTTAGGCCCTCTTGTCCTGCAACCTTAACAAGGGGAAACCAGGACATATTCCCCAACCATCGTGGACCCCCAACCTCAGTCCACTACTCCCAAACCATCCCGGGCCCGCAACTTCCATCCACTACTCCCAAACTATTCTGGACTCCAAACCTCAGTCCACTACTCCCACACCATCCCGGGACACCAACCTCCGTCCACTACTCCCAAACCATCCCAGGACACCGACCTCCATCTACTACTCCCAAACCAAACCGGGACCCCAACCTGTGTCTACTATTCCCAAAAGAATTCTGGGACCGCAACCACTACTCCCATACCATTCCAGGACCCCAATCTGCATCCACTACTCCCAAACCCATCCCTGGACCTCAACCTCCGTCCACTACTCCCAAAACCACCCCTGGACCTCAACCTACTACTCAAAAGTATCAAAACTAAATTACAGTTAGCTATATGAATTTTACAAATGTTTGCCGTACTTGAGAAAATCTGTTTCTCGTTGGAGCCTCAAGGCCTGTGTTGTATTATCAGGTGGAGCACGTCTTCTACCATGTCTGGAATCACTTCTAGCTAAATCTAACCCATCTAACGGCTAAAAATACAAAACAATGAGTGTACATTCAACAAAATTTCTCTCTCAGACTTCAAAGTCATTATGTGGCAGTGTTTTCATATTTATATTCTTAAAAGATGTTCAGTACGAACAGAAAGCACTAGCCGTTAAATTAGTAATTTGGTGTCTTTCTTTAATTTAGTTATTTATACACACACACATTATTAAAACCATTTAGTTCATACATCACTAAAACTTTGAATTCATCCCCACCACATTCATCCAAATGCATACTCAATGGTATCATTCTTTTTCCTGATTTGCTATTTGGGATCTGTGGAGGTTCATTCGATGGTTTAATTGTTTTATAGATTATCTGATATATTTTTCACGACACCCAGGACAAATAATGCAATAAATGATATATTTGGATTTGCAGTTCATTTATTGTGTTATATATAACATTACTGATCTTTCCTTGTGAGATAGAGGAAAAAAAGAAATAAAAAAAATACCTGTGTTTATGGTTATCTGGCCACAAAAATAAGGTAGGTCGGAAAATCTTGTTATTTATTTATTTTTGTTTTTGATGGGGTTTGTATTATCAATTTCTAGAAAATTATACTGAAATATCAGTGTTAGAATTTGTCATCAGAAATTCCATGCCAAAGCTGTAAGTGCTAAATGATAAGGCCAGCTCAATTTTTCGCCATAGGTCACAAGATGTAAACTGGGCTAGCACTAATCCCAACCCTAACCCTAACCCTGGACCTAGCCCCAATGCTTACCCTAACCCTAACCTACAATCTCGCCAACAATCACGTGCCCTAACCTTATTTACATCTCAGCACAAAAATTGAGCTGGTCTTAAAAAATAGCTTTAGCCAAAGCCGAGTTAAGGAGCCTGGGAAATGAGAAAAAAAAGTTTTGAGTCAGCTATTTTGGTCGTTAGGGTAACTGTAAACACTAGAATTTTTTATTTGGGCCTGATCAATCAATATTATATATAGGCACATATACATACATTTATTTCTATATAAAGAAAATTCGGTGTGGCATTAAACACTTGACTTACCTCAGTTCTGTGACTCCTATCGGTGCCATAACCCATTCTAGAATTGAGAAATCGTGTTCCTGATTGAGGTCTTCGGTGTGAGCTACCTGTTACTCGCATGTCTGTAATAAAATAAAGAAGACAATAGCTCATTTTTCACATCATCTCACTGCGTGGATTCAGTTTGAATTTGTTTCTTGTGTCAAAATAATCACATGTTTTTAAGACAATATCAAATATACTCAAATTTATTATTTAACATTTAATTATGAAAATTAGATAAAATCCTGGGTTTGATTTGAAACTGCCAATCAAAAGATTTTACCCATCACGGCTACAGAGGATGGCAAATGTTGTAAAATTTTCAACTTATCATATCTTTGTAAATACTGAATGGAACTGAACCATTTTTGGATTTGTATTTCCTTTAGAGATTCAACTTTCACAAAATAGAATCTATAAATAGCCCTGTACAACAGATATAGACTACAATGTGTTTACAAGAAAGTTGGGATGAACCAACAGATGGACCAGTCAGAAGAGACTACATTCTAGGTCTGTATTACATGAGGGCATGTAAAATATGAATAATACACTACCTGATTTTCTCTGTTGACTGTGTTTCAGTGAATTAACGTCAGTCCAAGCCGATTTTGGTGACGTCATTATCTTTGATGCTGCTCTTTTAACTTCAATCTGAAACAAAAATTAAAGGTATTGGAATGATTTTATATAAGGTCTGGCTTTGATTTATATGAACTCTGTGTGTTTATGTTTAATGGGGGAATATTTCTCAATATTAAAAATGCTACTAGCCTAGATATAGCTCAATCTTGGCTCCCAGAGGTTAGTTTACCCCTTGATTATCTCTGGGAAAATTTGCCGGCCATTAATTAGTCTTAAATTGATTCCTAAGCTCCACCCCCAGTGGCTCCTGATTGGCTGGAATTGTTTGAATGAAATGCTGCAGATTTCTCGACAATTAGGCATCGGTTCATCGAATGAGCTACATATTAATGATCCTTGGAACATTTTCCACATCTTCACATCAAAAGTTCATTCGAAAACAGCCCATTAGATGATTTACCGGGAACTATTTTTGGTGTGCAATGTGAGTGATTCTGCTAAATATGCGAAATTTGAGAAGAAACACGAGTTTGAGCCACTATCTTGTATCTTTGTGAAGCAACAGTTGGGATTTTTCATGCCAGGTGTCAGGTGTAGTTCCTGTGCAACAGACAAGGCATGAAGAACTAGGTCCATCATTGTAAACATTGACATGTATGTAAAAGAACCATTAATAGTTGGAATTCAATGAATTGTAGGTGGAAAAGCTGATGTCCGTAGCATTGCCTGTGAACATATAGATAAACATTCCCCACCCTGACCCACCCTCCAATGGATTTGTTCAAGGACTCTTGACCCAATCTAAACTCTTTTGGGCCTCACCCGGGTTGGGGGGGGGGGGTCTATCCTATTCACACAGTTATAAATTCTTGAACTAGGAAGTACGTATATCTTTTGATAAATGAAGAATGCAATAAAATAATAACATGCACATGCAAATTAGTCTGGACCTGGGCCGATCCAATTGTCAGTTTTAAATTCTTTCAAGCTAACAAATTCTATATTTGTTTTTATAAAGTAAATATGTGAGTAATACCATCAAATATTAATAATCTACTTCTATAACTAGATTAAACCCTAGACAGATTATATACAACAAGCTTTTATTAACTTATTAAATATTGATAGCAAGTCAATCAACACGGGTCAGAGGTGATAACAAACAACTTCTATCTATCCAACAAGACAAATAATCAGTTTCTAATTGTGTATATTGTAAATTATTAATCAACGTCATGAGGAGGATCAATCTTCAGAGTAAATATTCATTGTCAATAACTTGTGTTCTCTCAGCTATATGAAGAGTGAATCGCCAGATCAACTAATATTTATTTACTGTTTAACATAGATATAATGATGTTAAAGTTCATATTTAATTAGATATCCGATATATTCATTCATTGGTTGATCCTTATCGTACATTTTAAACAAATGAAATAGATAGAGAGAAATCGGGTTTAACACCCACACGACACAAACTAGGTCATTTTGGGACTAACACATGGTGATATTTTATTTCAAAAATTTGCTTGCGCGTAGGGGTCTTTAGCAGTGGGAGGAAACCGGAGGACCTGGAGAAAACCCATGAGGTTGGACAGGCGATCCTACACCTTGTCACGTAAAACTGGGGATTCGAAACCACGCCATCTGACTCAAATGACAGATCTTATGATACAATGCGCACATGCTAACCAATCGGCTATCCAACCCCACTGCTTAAAATAAAGGTAAATTTCATATTAAATCAAATATTAGTTATAGTTAAATATACTTAAATTACTATGATATAGGCCTATCTCTAGCTTACAAAGAAATACAAATTTAGATTCTAATGTTTTCTGAACATGATTTGATAAGATTAATTAAACCTAAGCATTTAAATTTAAATTTACTACTGCATATATATATAATACAGTACCTTGACACGATTTTTTTTCTTCTGAAATTTTAGGAAAATAGTTTATTAAATAATATGCTGAAGTGAATGAAAACATGTCTAACAACCTACTTTTCTGCACCAACTGGGATAATAAAGACGGACATATGCCATACAATTTGCTATGATTAGGTAAATATTGGACAGACAGCCTTGCTACAACCTGCTTTTATTTTGAATTCCAACTGTCAAGGGTCTTTCACGTGCACGCCAATGTGTATATTATGTACAGGTATATTATAATACACAGGTGAGGAGTTTAATATCTTGTCAACACAATACTAAGGTCATATTACGACTGATTAGCGAGAATACCATTACATGTGATGCGTGTAATATTGTGATGTATGGGATTTTTTGTTAAAGACAGAGTATTCAAGAGCTAAATCTGCCTATTGCAGGTCTTTCTTTAGGTCTTAAATGTTATGTAAATTATTAATTAGACATTAATTAACATTACAAGACAATAATCAACTCTAGATGCCATTGGATGGCTCCGATTTTATGTAGATTAGAACGGTTCGGCCTTTTAATGATTTAATTTAAAAATGGAGAAGCAAGGTTAAGACTGGAATGATCAGCACCATGGTTATGATAATAAACAATCAATGCCACATCTTGTCAAAACTACAAACAGTGATTACTTCGCTCAGAATAAAGTAATTTCAATTCAATTTTCAATACATTCATTTTGCATTATCTATTTTTAAACTATTATAGCAAAAACTGTCAGTTCTTTATCTAAATCTTACATAATATATCTTTAAATAAAACTGAAATTATTTTTTTATCCAAATTTTTATATCAGATTGCTCCTTTTAGCTGTTATTGTCAAAACGAATCTAAAGACAATTTATCTTCCCTGCAGTTCTGAATTTATTCAAAATTATTCATTATATTGATACCTTTGATCTTTCTAAATCGAGATCGTATTGAAAACCGAGATCATCATCTTCTGGTGGACGGGGTGGTGGTTCAACAAAATCCACATCAAATGTCTTAGTAACAACATTACTCTCTCTCATGCCATCCCTACAATATAAATATTACTTCAATATAATAATACACACTAGTATAACTAATAACTTTTTATGCATCAATTTACAAAAAGAAAGTAAAGAGAGAGAGAGAAATGGGGTTTAACGTTCCACTCGACACAAACTAGGTCATTTCGGGACTAACATATGGTTTAATTTTATTTCAATAACTCGCTTGCGTATAGGGGTCTTTAGCAGTGGGAGGAAGCCGGAGGACCCGGAGTAAACCCACGAGGTTGGACAGGCAACCCTACTCCTTGTCACGTACAACCGGGAATTCGAAATCACGCCAGTCGACTCAATGACAGACTTTATGATACAGCGCGCACACGCTAACCATTCAGCCATCCAACCCCCCAAAAGAAAGTAAAAATCTATTCAGAATTATATGACTGGCAGTTAATGAAGACAGAAGTGTTAAGAAGTGTACACCAGTGTGATACAATGTGTCAACAACCTGGTCATTTTATATATATAGAGAGAGAAACAGGGTTTAACGTCCATTTGAGACAAACTAGGTCATTTCGGGACTAACATTTTGTTCAATATTATTTCAATAAAACCCACGAGGTTGGACAGACGAGACCCAACTCCTTGTCACATACAACCGGAGAATCGAAACCACGCCAGTTGACTCAATGGCAGACCTTACAATACTACGTGCATCCACAACCCCACCCTCGGCGGTTCTATAAAGTTTATAAGAAATAAACTTACTCTTTATCTAATCTCCCATAATGTATGTTTAAGAAATAAACTTACTCTGAGACAGCTACAGCTTTAACTGTATGTCTACCTGCAGGTAACGTAAAGGGACATCTATATTGGATCGTAGTCTTTTGTCCTCCTATACGCTGAAATGGTTCTGGTTTACTTCCATTTATGGTATAATATATAGTTGTATGTAGTGAATCTGCAAAACAAAAGTAGAAAACTATTACACTTAGCTTATACATACATGTACATTCACTTTCTTAATACAATTTACACACATAACTTTTTAATTGCGTCAAATTTTTGCAAAAAATTAACCCAAAATGGTCTAACTTACATCCAAATTAATTCTTCTTAAATTTTATTTGTGTTTGTGTTGCCTGTGCTAATTTCTACTTCACATCTCAAAAATTGATCATATATATTAATCAATCTTAAATTATATTTCTGTTGCCTGAGCTAATTTCTACTTTACATCTCAAAAATTTATTATAAATATTAATTAATCTTAAATTATATTTGCCATACCTGAGCTAATTTCTATCCTGGTGTTTGAGTCTATGGCAAGCTTTGATCGTCCAGGTACAGGTGGTCGTAAGGGTATTATGGTAGGAACAATGATAGAACCAGCCGTCATGTTGCTGGTCTCACACTATCTTACCTGAAAAATATACTAGAATTTAGAAAGAGTTTTGCTTGTTTCTGTTGCATTTCTATAGAGAGAGAGATGGGGGTCTAACGTCCACTCGACACAAACTAGGTCATTTCAGGACTAACATGTGGTTCAATTTTATTTCAATAATTCGCTTGCATGTAGGGTTCTTTAGCAGTGGAAGGAAACCAGAGGACAGATGACTCTACTCCTTGTCACGTATAACCGGGGAATCGAAACCACGCCAGTTGACTCAATTACAGACCTTATGATACAGCGCGCACTTGCTAACCATTCGGCCATCCAACCCATCAACCCCCTCTATTTCTCATGAAGAACATAGATCTGTACCGTTGTCTTATGTAATCTTATTGGAGAAATATATGTTTCCATTTTCCCAGAATCATGTTTCTATAGACAATGTCTTACTGTATGGTACCTAAATTATGTACTCTAGTATAAACATGTCCAATTACTGCAATGGTAAAACCAGCTAAATTGAATAAAAAAAAACTTGTCTTGATTCAAGCCTGACAGATCTATACTGCCCCCCATGCATTGTTACATGGCAAGGTTCCCAAGATTTTATTAAAAGGTGTGCATACAGCCTGCGAAGTTACTGGCTATGTAATTAATCCCAATAAACTCCAATCTGATTAAAACACAGATCCTATTTCATTTCATTTTATAGTTCAAAATTTGTTTTTTTCTTGTCTTTACTAATACTACACTAGGATCTGGAAGAGTTGTTATCATTGACGTGTTCTGGATGGTGGGAGGGATTAGCCAATGAAACAGTCTGTTATGACGAGTTCTTGGCCTTTTTACACACAGAACTGTGGGTAAACCACTAGAAACGTCAATGCTGATTGATTAATCAATGTCTGACGTCATAGGATCAAAAGTCGCTCTATAAGTATAACTGGTCATATCTTCATTTAGTGTAGGCCATCGAAAGTATAAAAAAATGAAACGAAATATAGATCTGTATTTTAATCAAATTGAATACACTCCTTTCTACAATTTGATTTTAAGTTGGAAGACAACGTGATTTAGACGATTTTTCTTTTTTGAACATGTGGCATTGTTTAAAGTTTCACTAAGATTTCTAGGGTGGTTTGTTTTCAGTACATTGTAAATCTATAGGGCCTACTGAGCGTACATATTGAATCTACATACTTTCACTCGTGTACCAGTACATACATATATCAATTTACAAAATCTACATGATATTGATAAGTAGATTATCCTAACAACTTTACTCAAATATTTCTGACACTTTCATTTTTTAAGGATTAATCAATTTCCAACAATCTGATTAAAATACAGATCTTATTTTGTTTCGTTTTTTATATTTCGACATTTTGTATTTTAATCAGATTGCATTTCCAATGGGTAATCCTCTGACATCATAGAGAGTATTCAAATTAAAGGGCGTATGACTCTATTCATTGGAATGTTAAAATAGATGAAAATCGGTCTAAAAGCACATATTAATATTGATATGAATGTATAAGTTATAAAGTGATTTATATTCTTTTTTCAAAACATTGAATTTCTAATCAATTATGTTCATTGAAATACGTGAACAGTCCAAATTGACCGAAAGTCATTTCATTTACGCCTGCTTCTACTAGAAAGATTCTCTCGATTCAGCTAACTTCGTCATTTTGGCTGACATAATAAACAAGAATTGTATACCATATTCAAATCAGCCGAGAATCAAATAACTGTGATAAGAAATGAACATTCTTCGCAGTTTAACAGCAAGCGCCACCACTTAGTGTAGGGTCGACTAGTTGCTACATATTTTATTCCATGTCAGTTTACCGATATATATAATGTTTGAAAACTAGCCGGTATAGTGACAGTTTTCGAAAGAAAGTATATCAAATAGTAAGGCCTAAAGAGATAAGCCTCATAACTTTTTTATATTGGGTATAAATGTACATGTAATTAATGGTTAAGATTTTGAATAGAGTGGATGCCTGTTTCTTGATTATCACATACTTTTTAACTTCACTACAGTACTGGATAACCGTTGGGCGTGCAGTTTGTAAACTTCCAGCTACTCGTTCTATATTACATATTAAAATATTACTACCAGTACATTTATATTTAACAATAACAAATTGTCAGATGTATATAATAATAAAATATAGCCGGCGCATGAAACTAAGTAACAATAGTAAGTGCAGGGGGACTGCACCACACAAAATTTACACAAAAACAAATACACGGATAGGACATAGTTAGCGGGGAAATTCGTCGGCAGCCGGCTCTTAATGAAACCGCTGGGTTTAGTTCCTTTAAATTCTACGCAAGATTTGACCACTCTGCCATGGCAATATTGCTGAGAAGGCGTTTTACCCCGCAAACATTTTCTTTATATCTCAGATCTGACAGCTGGTCATATGCTCAATTAAATTTAAATTAGCATTAAATTTAAATGGGTTGTTTTTTTATGGTACCATATTCATGGACTATATTAACAATACGGTAAAAAAAAAAAATATTTGATTAGTCGTGATGACTACCAATGTATTGTTAAACAATCAATCGATAATAACTATTATCGACTAACTACAAATTGACATGGTCGTTTACGTTTGTTTGTGTTGCAATCGCCTTCTGTTTTCCTAAATTAAATAAAATGTTGTCACTGTCATCATCACATCATCGCTTTCTGCTACCTGAGAATTATAACTTACGTCTTACGCAGTTATGTAACAGAAGTCTTTCTCGTGTGTTTGTTGTTTAGAAAAATAAATAAAGCATCATATTTTACCTGTATCCACGAAAATAAGATGTGCCCGGACACCTGTCTGTAAAATACACCTCAAGCGCGTCCTAGTTACATTCCATACGGCGTTTTCATTGGTTGAGAGATGGCAGCATATTTGACTTCTTTACTGAGGAATAGTTAAAGGGGGATAATCATGACATTAACCCTTTGCTGCTCTCCGCCTTCAAGAATTTGTTTTATACTCTGCCTCAGCTAAATGCGTTAATTTACAAGATACATTTTATCGACAACCTTCATGACATAAAATGATAATTTCTATTCTAAAATTTGAGTGTCCACACGTTGTAATAATAATAATAATTATAGTTGTACTAAAATGGAGTTGCCTCCCTTATATCACAAATAAACACCCTCACAAATAATTTCAATAGGCAATTTATGCTTTAAAAGAAATGAAATGAAATTGGGTTAAACGTCCTACTGTTCTGCTCCGTGCTTTAAAAGAACAATAACATTTTTGCATCAATTTAAAAAATTAAAATGTTTGATAATAAATTGCTGCTATTTATTTCGCCTGAAATATGCAATTTATAGGCTACCCGTATGGTTAGTGGTTATATTCCCAAGGTTATCAATACAATAATTGTAAATGTTGCTTATTGTTTTGTTTAGCCACCTTTTGTGTCACCCTTATTTCAGCTGCAGTTTTTGCATTATGGTAAACCTGGAACTGGAAAAAAACCACAGCGCCCCACCACCATTATTTTGCTTAAATCTTAACAGCCGAATTAATTTAAATCAGAATGGTGTGAACTTGCCATCAGGGGTGGACTGGGCTATTGGACAAAAAATGAAAAAAATAATTTTGCCCAGTTCGTCTAAAAACCATTTTTCTGCTGAAACACCCGACCCCCTCCGACGCGGGAGCCCCGGCCGGTTCCCGGCCCCAATCCACCCCTGCTTGCCGTAAAGTCGATATAGTAACCATTGGCTATACGTACATGAAATTTCGATTTTTCATCTAATGTGGCCTTTAAAGGTTAATCCTTTAATGGTTACAATTAAGCATTTTCAGTTCCGTTTTGTGTCAAAATAAAATGGGGTTTAATGTTCTATATTTCTGCACTAACAGTGTGCTATGAGAAAATAGTTACCCTGACAACCAGCATTTTCACCCTTGTCTACTTCCAATTTCGACTACCAAGGCTTCTTTCAGGTGCACAATATTGTGAACACAAGACCTCAAAGTGAACATACTGCTGAAGATTTTTATGAAACTTTTAATATGGTCTTGATCACACATTAATACGCTAGTTATAACCCGACTGTTACCAAAGTTAGCTAATTCTAGCCAACGGATGTGAAGGCCTCTCCACTGTTTGGGATCTGAGACACTTTTTTCTTTTATTTCCCAAACAACTAATCTTCAATCATTTGTTTATTCTAAATTGATTGACAGGAAAATTCTTCACTTGGTCTATCACAATACCTTGGGACTAACATATGGTTCAATTTTATTTCAATAATTCGCTTACACGTAGGGGTCTTTAGCAGTGGGAGGAAACTGGAGGACCCAGAAAAAACCCACGAAGCTGAACAGATGACCCTACTCCTTGTCAGTACAACCGGGGAATCGATCAGAGAGAGAGAGATGTAGTTTTACTGCACTCAACACAAACTAGGCCTTTTCTGGACTAGCATATGGTGCAATTTTTTCTTTAATAATTGCAAGCATGTAGTCATCTTTAGCAGTGGGAGGAAACCGGAGGAACACTGTGAGGTTAGGAAGGCGACCCTACGTCCTATGTTGTCAGTATACCCTTTGCAGAGAGCGATTTAAGATATTGGGAGGAATCACAGGGCATGTTGAAAACTCAGGAGGTGAAGAAAGCGACTTACTTCTTGTCAAGTATAACATGGGATTTAGGACAAGTAGAAAACACACGAGTTTAAGGCGGCCATCCAACCCTATAATAACCTGTTAACCACGATTGCCAAATAGTGCTGAAACAAGAGCCATGGTTTAAGCCAATGTAATATATATGACATTGATTAGATGTAATCTATCAACAATGTCTGCTGCATCCAAATCTTAGGTTAAATATCCAATTCATAAAAGAAAACAAACACAAAATTATCCTTGTCTTTTTTTTATTTTCTAACTAGGTAATTCATTTATTAATTTTTTCTTAGCTTTTTTTTTTCTTCCTCGTGAAAATATTTAGCATAATATATTATATATTTTATACATTTATTAGAAATGATACATGTATTTGGGTTTCAATATAACCAAATAATTTTCATAATTTCTACATTATTCATCCAAAATGATAATGTATACGTATGAACACATCGTGGGGAGGGGCATACAATCAGAGCACTGTACCTGTTTTTGTGCCGTATTTCATAGTCGTTCATTAATGAGGTGAAAAAAGTGCATATCAAATTACAAATATAAAAATCTAAAATTTTTCAAAACTAATTATCTTTATGCTTTAAAAATATTTAAATTCTGCTTCATTTTCTTTTTTCTTTTCATGCAGAAATCCGAATAATACATTTTACATTTCAAATGAATGTATTTGCCACAAAACACCAAGCAAAAATTAAATTTTAACCAAAAAACAAGAAAAATACCAAGTGATACCGGTACCAAAAGAAATCTTAACTTAATAAATACTGAAGAAATAAAAAGACAACCAGAAAAAACTGACATTACACGGACATAAAAAGCATATGACACAAATTATCCTGATGTTTACCTGTATTTATATCTAAAGAAAATTGAAAGTAGAACTAATTATATTAATAGAAATTTTTAAAAGTTTTCATATAAAATTTCTAGACATTTGATGGCCAAATTTCCTAAACATTTTGTAGCATTCTAGCATGCATGATACCAATTTGAACTTCAAACTTGAAGCCCACATCTGATTATCTAAACAAACATGTGACTCGCTCTAAAACAAATTGAAGCCACGGGTTCCTAAACCCTTGAACCATCGGTTTGTTTTGGGGTTTGACTAGGAAAAGCATATAGTTACATCCTGTAATTCTTTAAATTTAAGAAAAAATCATACAAATGTATATATTTTTGGAAAGATCTTGAATTCCTCTATTCAGTGATATAAAATATTTTAACATTTTTTGTCATTTTTACTTATAGGTCATGACCATAGTCCGACGGTTAAAGGGTTAAGACCCTTCAGATTTCAAGCAAACTTACATAATATGAAATATATTAGTTAAGTCTATATTTGTGGTATATATATATATATAAATTAGTAGGTAGAACATAGATATGATAGATATAGACTAGAGGTAGTGGTACTTACATAGATAGAGAAATAACTGCCCTGAAAATAATGCTATATTATATACATTGTATAGTCGTTTCATCTTCACAACGTCAAGTTATTACAACATATTTATGGTACCATGACTATGTTAGCTGTTCTTGCTGCAATGTTGAAGTTATTGCAAAATACTTGTCATATTATCATGACAGTGTTCGGTATCTTTGCTGCAATGCAGAAGCTATTGGAATGACATCCAAAACTAACAAATTGCAACAATCACAGGGCTCGTTACAAATTTATGTCTCCAAGCAACTAAGTCTATTGACCATACCGTAAATGCATAACGTTAACTAAGTCTCTTTGTGAAATTGCATATTGTCAACTAAGTCTCTTCACCTAATAGTAATTGCATATTGTAAACTTCATCTACTCAGCTAACTTTGAAAGGTGTATATATATATATATATATATATATATATATATATATATATATATATATATATGACCATGTCAGCTAACACAGTCAAAGTATCAAAACACATTGTAACTGCATATTGTCAACTTCTTCTACTCAGCTAACTATTAAAGGTATATACACATATACCTTTCAATGACCATGTCGGCTAACACAGTCAAAGTATGAAAACACATGGTAACAACTTGATGTTGTGAAGATGGTGTCTGTTTTAATACGAGGAAAACCAGAAAAAGGGCAACAGTATCTGCACTAAAATATCAGTTATATATTTCTAGAAATAGAAATAGTAAACAATACAACATTAACAATTCTAACTGTAAAGACTTAATCCCATTAAAATATACATGCAAGATTTAAAATTCTAAAAATTCAGCACAACTCTCAAATCTTTTGAATTTAATATCACAACTTTGTTCAGAATTTTCCATTCATTATGCATATTCAGATTTGTAAGACACTTTATGCAAATTTAATTTTTTTTTTGTTACAAATCCTACATTTAAAAAAAAGAAAAAACAACAAACTTTTGGGAGCTTCAATTTTAGAATTCTATATCTTTTCTTTATACAAAGAATATTTACAACTTTTTAATCTTAACAACTGACTCGACTCATTGACTGACTAAAAGTCCTCACCAACAATACAACCCACACCTGTTGGAGAAATTTAAATAGAACTTCCATTATTCTGAATATATTAGAATAAGTCATATGATTCAAATAATGGCTCTTTCAGAGGGGCGCGATACAACCCTCCCACCATTCCATTATTCTGAATATATTAGAATAAGTCATATTCAAATAATGGCTCTTTCAGAAGGGAGCAATACAACCCTCCCTCCAGCATGTCTTCATACAAATTAATCGTAAAAAGTCGTTAATTTTAGATATTAGGATTGAATAAACTGGAATAAAAGATCGCTTACATGGCTATCAAAATATCTTTTTCCTATCTCTAAAGTACAAAAATTAATTTATAAATTTTTAAAATATACCTAATTTTTATTCGTACTATACTGTTATCCTCTGCCATTTTAATAATCCTGATAAATTATTACATGCATAGGCACTAAAATGCATGTGCATGTTCATTAACATGTATGTCTTAAGTCATACAATAAACAGTTTTATAACTGTCGCTGCACGATGTAAGAATCAAAATATATAAACGTGTCAGAAATGATAATTAATTCATATTAAATGATAAATATACTGTACCATTAATTAATACAATATCTAGGTCAATTATAAATAATGGCTGCCAAAATGTGTAACTTTTTCAATATTACACATTTAATCATTATCTATGAGAACTATATTTATAATAATAATATGATTATTTACATCATTGGTGAATTAATATCAAGTAATAAATATTTATGAATATTCATAACTGAGTAATAAATATTCATAATTGAGTAATACTCATAATTGAGTAATAAATACTCATACTTGAGTAATAAATACTCGTAATTGAGTAATAAATACTCGTAATTGAGTAATAAATACTCATAATTGAGTAATAAATATTCATAATCGAGTAACCCATACTCAATTTTGTGTACATTTATTACACAAGGCCTTATCGTGTTATAATGCACCATAATTCTAATAATAATATTATTGATACTAATTTTTGTAAGTACATGTACTGTAGATAAAATACTTTAACAAATTTCACACAAGACAAATTTCAACTGTTTTAATAATTAACAATGAAATCGCAAGTAGATTTTAAAATTTTTGGTGAAGAATAAAGCAGTTTAATTTGTTTAAATGCCTATATGTCTATCAGTAATTGTTTAATACTGTTAATATATAAAACACCTTGAAAATGGTTGCTCCACTACTAAATTAGCTACCCTTGATGAAGATCAAGCTATACCTGTCATTCTGAGATGAGTTTGATTAATTCCAGAAATGAAGTACTACAGGAGATTGTTGCTGAACTGTTGACATGGTAACTGACTCAATTATCCAGTAATACGACAGGCATAACTCCATCTATACTACTAAGGGTAGCTAGCATAGTCCCAGATCAAAGCCACAAGCCAAAATGTACATAAAATAGTATCCAAATTCATTTCAATTATTATTTTGTTTTAATTACAAAAATGATGCTCGTAAAGGTATAAAAATTGTTAAATAAATGATTTTAGCATAAAAATTGGATGACTTTATCAAAAAGTATGAAACTAATTTAATGAATTTTAATTGAGACATAAAACCAATGCCTCCATTGGATGAAATTAATATATATCGTAAATTTTAAAACCTATAAATTTTGATATCAACATAATCACTGATGATGAGACGGATCGAATGATTTCCGAGAACAAAATGATGAAAATTCTAATAATTATCAGACTTTGGATTGTTGCAATTTATTTTAATTTGGCAGTGACTAAGAAAAAATGAATTTATGAAATTATCTAATGAAATTATGGCACAAGTCATGCTGGACATTTATAAATGAAATTGGTGGGCTTATTATACGGATGAAAATGCTTTTGATGTATTTTAAAAAAATTTTAACTTACAATTTAAGTAAAATAAAAATATTAAAAATTCAAATTTACACAATTTATTTTTAGTATAAATTTGATTCATTTACAGTATTTAACAGGGTTCACATGTTTATCATTACCTTCCCTTGGCTCTTCTTCCTTCCATTTTATTCTAGGTAGATTAATTAGCAATATATAATCATTGTTATATAAAGCGTTAATATATATTGATGGCAATTTAAACCATATTTGGTAAGTTTTACCATATTTGGTAAGTTTAACCATATTTGGTAACTTTTACCATATTTTTTTGGGTATTATTTTAATACCATTTGTGTACTCTATGTGCATCACTACATCACAATACAGTTTGGGCCATCTTCATTTGCCCTATTGGTGCAGAAAAGTAGGACGTTAAACCCTAATTCATTTCACTTCACCATTTTGGTTTATATTCAATCATCACAACATTTCGCTATTAGTAACGACTGATGTTTTAAACAAAGCAGGGTATGCTTTCGTGAACACCAAATACCACTTTTCCAGTATATCGTAAGTCCATAAAGCTAAGATCTCGCATTTGGATCAGCTCACCTACAATTGGCAGGTGCTTGGCAGAAACCGGGTCCCTATCCAATTCTGGAACATCCAATGCCACCTATCCATTACCTTTCATGACCCGACAGTATTAAATTTTATTCTCTGTAGTACGCTATTCGAATACATCCATATTTTGTTGCGACACCGTCGACAACTTAGGGCCTTAGGCCTCTATTATAATAAGTATCTAGTCAAGACGTGAAACTATACAAGTTCCTTTCTTTAGACTTTTCTATCCTAGAATAATTCTATAAACAATCTTTAATTTGTTTATATTTTTAATATCTTACCAATATTAATCCTTATATAGGCATTGGTAGATAATATCTCTTATCTCGCTCTCTTTAACGTAATTCTTAATTCTATCAACTCTTTTAACGCTTTCCCAAATTCCAAAGGAGACTTTGTAGCGCACCCCTTTTCCACAATGTTAATGACACACAAGCGTTCAATCTACTACAACACTGGGAGCCAGGCATTCTTTGGAAAATGTTTAAACTCACGAGAGCAACTTCAAACTTATGTAGTCAAATAACCCATTTAGGTTAAAAGTACCACAATTTGAAGATTTCCGTCAACATGGAATTTCTTTCCATACAGGCCACCCCTGAGCCTCTTTCAACAACAACATACATTTAATGTATTTGTTGTTTTTTTCTATCACACATGTAATGCTACATGATCCATCATATTCTTATCCAACATGTGAACCACTGTTCTATCCTTAACCCCTCCTACTAGTTTATTTCTTTTTTTTTTTTAATTTACGATTTTCATAATTTTATTTATTTATCTGTATATATACATACTGTTATATTACTTATGTATGTATAACTCAATAACTTACAAGTATATGCACATCAATAATAACATCTATGTGTATTGAACACATATATTTTGTTTTATTTCAAACAAACTCCTAACAGGACATTTTTATTGCAATCCTTGTAGTTTGAAATAAATCAACAATTCTTGACACAAATATTTTACTGTATAATATATTCAGTCTTTATATCTAAAGTCTGTGTTTATCATAAATAAAACTATTTGTTCAGAGTTGTTGTTTTATAATTTATGCCTGGAAATAGGCTACCTTTTACAGATATGGTCAGGCACAAATCTCTCTGGTACCTGTCATAAAGTCCGGCAGAGATTTTCCGTTTCGGTGTTTTAGATACATGTCCGACATAAATTCAGTTGTGCCTCAGATTTTATTTCCAAGCCTGCTACTAAAGGATTTCAAAACAATTTGAGAATTCTTAATCCATTAACAAGTCTTACTTGAAAGAAAATGTAGCACAGGAGAAATTTTAAAATATGATTTACAGACATAAGATAAGCTTTTTATAGAATCATTAAAATTAGAATCTTACATTTACTTATCCTTAGTTTAATAAATCATATCGAAAAATTTCATTAGAACTAAATATTCCATTCAAGCCAGCACCAAATGATCATTTATAGCACAGGAGTTATTCCCCTTGAGAAAACAAATCATTTGAATTGCATTCCTCAAACATAACACAACCTATTGAGAGAAAAAAATTTGCACCATTTGAAATTAATTATATATGTACAATAAGCGTAGATCATATCTACGGCTATAATAATAAATCTGTATAATTATGCTGGAGGGGGGCCGCTAACGTATTTTAACTCCGGATTGATTGTAACAGAGAAGTTGGTAATTTTGTCGATGACGTCGGGATCCATGAGATAAACTAGACCTGCTGTCATAATGAGAGCTGCCAATTGTAGAGGACACGATGATAACCAGGATTTCTTTTTACTGGGTTTCGATTCAAGTTCTGCATCAACATCTAAATTACTGTAAAACAAAAATACAAAATGTTTATATTATTGTGGTTTAATGTCTCATCGACATTATGATATTTTTGAGACTAACATATGGTTTTTATGAGACTAACATGTGGTCATTTTGAGTTCAACGTATCATATGTATGAGACTAACACATGGTCATTTTGAGACTAAGATATGGTATTTATGAGACTACATATGGCATTTCTGAGACAAACATGGTACTTATGAGACTAACATAGTTATTTTGAGACTAAAATATGGTCACTTTGGGACTAAGATATGGTATTTATGAGACTAACATATGGCATTTATGGGACTAACATATGTTAATCTTTTTTTATGGTTATGTGTACAATACATGGTATGAACATTTTGTCCATACAGCAGCATTTCTACTTCCCTTTCTTGAGTTTCAACTGTCAAGGGTTCATTTATGTGCAGAGGAGGAACTGGGTTTTCATCCCATCCCAACGAGTAGTCATATATTTCTTGCCGCCAGACAGAACCCCTGATAAGAGAGAACCTGGTTGAATTAATCCCAAAGGTTCTTCTCAGTCCCTGCCTGGGACATTCTTGTTGATGGCTTAACTAACATGATCCCACAAATTATGCAATGTGAACAGAAACATTTCAATGCAAACAGATACGTTTGAATAACAATTATGCCACAGCCTACATGGTGGGCAAAAATCCCTGATTTACCAAAGATCAAAACTCACAACCATAGCAGCTCCTTGTGTTTCTAGCAATACAATACAATTTGAACTTACATTTTATCAGTGAAATCAGCCTGTTCTAGAACGGTAGCAGCTGCTATAGGGTACTGGGTAATATCCACTTCATCTCCACGCAATTCTTCATCATCTAGATTATGTTTAGCGTCACGGCACCGTTTACTGAAGGAGAATAACTGATTGCGGAGATCTGCGATAGAAGCGAGATAATCTCGCTGGGCGGAGTCATCTGATGAACAGGATAGTTGAGATCGTAATTGAGAAAGGCACTGAAGTTTGGATTCATATACTTCTAAATTACAATTAATGTCCTGAAAAATAAAATTAGAACTTGGTCAAATATTGAAAGAGAGAGAGAGAGAGAGAAATGGGGTTTAATGTCCACTCCACAAAAAACTAGGTCATTTCGGGACTAACACATGATTCAATTTTATTTCAACAATTCGCTTGCGCGTAGAGATCTTTAGCAGTGGAAGGAAATGAAATGAAATGTTGTTTAATGGCACGTCAGCTCCAACCGGGCTATATTGCGCCCAAAGCAGTGGATGGAAACCGGAGGACCTGGAGAAAACCCACGAGGTTGGACAGGCGACCCTACTGCTTGTCACGTACAACTGGGGAATCGAAACCCCGCCAGTTGACTCAATGACAGACCGTATGATACAGCGCTCACATGCTAACCATACCATTCAGCCATCCAACACCCCCCCCCCCCCCCGGGTCAAATATTGATACACAAATATTGATACACGGATGAAATAGAACAGAGTTTAACACAATATGTTTAATGGACATTATGGAAGATTTAGATAAAGATCTGACTATTCTTGCTATAATAGCTCAAAAATAGATAATGTAAAATGAAAATTTCATTCAAATTACTTCATTTTGAGCCAAGTTATGATGGTTAGTAGTTTTGACAAGATGTTTGCATTGTGGTAACCAGGGCACTGGTATATTCAAGACTTAGCCTCGCTTTCCCATTTTTAAATCAAATTTTGAAATGGCGAACCGTTTTAATCTAGTTAAAATCTCAGGTATCTGATGCCATCGGAAGTTGAACCTGTCTAAATAATAGTATAGTTTATATAACCTTTCAGGCCTAAAGAAAGACCTGCAATAGGCAGATTTAGCTCTTGCATAATGTATGTTTAATATTTCTTACCTCTATATCATTGAGTAATTCTGCTGCAGATTTAGTTCTTCCAGAATCATGTTCACATAATAATTGTTGTAATTTACGACGATCCTGTGTAATCAGATATTCCAGTTCTTTACGACTATCCAGATATTCCAACCATAAACCTAGTTTCTCTTGCTGCTCCGTCACTTGACGACAAACACTGAAATAAAAATAAACTATTGGTAACCAGGCAATCATAACATTATTTCAAATTTTTAATTTCACTCAATTAGTCTACTCACGGAGAACGACGGAATTCTCTAATGTTGAAATTTACCTGTGGCAGGTAACATTGACAATCGGGATCACGTTATACTTATAGAAAAGATATGTTGACATAACTTGCATTATCTAAATAAATTATGAAGCTTTTCTGGTGATCTTTAAGGTTCATAGGTGGAGTTGATTATAATATCGTCTGCACAGGATGCCGAATGTCGAGATATTTTCAATTTATCATACCTTTGTAAATACTGCACAGAACTGATATTCCTTTCAGAGATTCAACTTTCACAATATCGCAGTTAGTGAGAGAGAGAGAAATGGGACTAACATATGATTTAATTTTTTATTTCAATAAATGCTTGCGCGTAGGGGTATTTAGCAGTGGGAGGAAACCGGGGGACCAGTAGAAAACCCACAAGGTTGGACAGGCGACCCTACTCCTCGTCACATACAACCGAGGATTCGAAACCACGCCAGTTGACTTAATGACAGGCTTTATGACGCAGTTTAAAAGGGAAAGAATGAATGAATGAAATGAGGTTTAATGGCACGTCACCAGTTTAAAAGGGACTCAAATAATGATCAGAAGATTAACCTTTTTCCTCAAGCGTCATTTCAAACCATAAAAATAAAACATACCATTTGTATAATTCTGTGTTAGTTTCTCCGATGTCAGCGATGTCGTTATGGTATTTACAGACATTTATAGAAGGATAATCTTCACTGAATAATTTAACAGATTCTGTCAACGTTATCAACTGGGACTGTTGATTTTCTAAAACTATTTGATGACCCTGTAAAAAAAAATAATTTTTAATTTTTTATACTATTTTAGGTATTTACAGATCAAACTGGTGGCTGTGAATGGCATACTTTTACAAAACTTGACATTTAACGTGTCCTAGGTTTAAATCCCAGGGCTCAAAATGAAATGGGGTTTAACTGTTCTGTTCCGACTGGGCTAATGAAGACAAGCATACGTCATACAGTGTGCAATGAGGGATTTTCCCCGGAAAGCGACGCTATGGCCTACTCTTATATCGAATTCCAACTGCCAAGGGATCTTTTACGTGCATGCCAATGTGTACACGGGAACTCTGATTTTCATCCTATCCCAACAACTAGACAACTCTCCTTGTCAGGCCTTCCCCGTCTTGCACCACCGATAAGGCGAAACCACGTCGGAAAATCCTGGTGAACTTTCTCAGTTAACACCGGGATCGGACCCATAACCTCTAGGCCCGCGACTTACTCACTTAGCCACCGTGGCCCCCCCCCTGAATTTTGCCTAACTTCCATAAGTTTTATTATTTCTTATTGACGGAAATGTACAATTAATAAACAATGAAAAGCTTTATTTAATACTAACCATGCAAGTTAAATTTAAGAAAATCAAAAACTTACACTTAAAGCCCTGATAGAATCACTTAATTCCTCAGCAGAACTGAAACTTGTCTGATTGAGCGCCTCTTGAACATTACGTTGATCAGCTTTCATGTCGGCCATTTCATTAAACATGGAAGACAGTTCCTGAGATTGCGTCTGTCTTTCCATAGCGAGTGCCTGTAGTTTTTCCCATTGATATAATAAATCTACAAGAAAAAATATTTAGGCCTCGATAAGATAAACGAACCCTCATCAAAGCCTCGCCAAAAATAAACTTGTGTTGAGTTGTAAAACTATTTGGCTTATCTCATTCCATTGTGTTAATTGTTTCTCTTGTTTTTTAAATAAATGGATGATCAAGTCAGATGTATATTTGTAAACAATTACCTTGTATTTTGCTGACATCAGCTTCCGTGACGGCATCCGTGGTCATATGTTGACATATACTCTCCAAGCAATTTTTATTAGTTTCACAAGTTGCCAATATTTCTGCCTGTTAACGAAAAAAAAAAATTGATAAATTATAGGTGGTTTATATGTTGAAATCAAGTGTTGGATTTACCAATAGGCTTGGCAGGCTGAAGCCTAGGGGCTCAAGATCTAGGAGTCTCTGGCCAAGGTGTATAATATTTTCGACACTGCAATAAACCTTTCTTAGACGGACAGTGTCTTAACCATCCTCGGTTTTACTGAGTTGTATTTAACAAACACACTTCCATCTTTCTCTAGTCGTCCGGGTAGGGGATTGGTAGGTGTCTAGGGACTCTCATTATCTGAACCCAGCACTGGTTTGACTATACAGGTGCATATTGAAGTTTAAACTACCCTATATTGTCAATTATTGTTGAAATGAATTGAGAAACAGAGAGAGTTAATTAGTGTATATATAAATTACTTCCTGGTTAAGTACAGTTATACTATAGTACATCGTAACAATAGAATGATAAACTGAAAGTAGTCTGATATGACAGAGAGGATGATAAACTGAAAGTAGTTTTATAGGAAGAAAAAGAAGATAAAATGAAATAGTCTTATTGGAGAGAGGGAGAGAATGAAACAGAGAGAGAATGATAACTTAAAGTAGTCTGATATGATTGAAGAGAGAGAATGATAAACTGAAAATAGTCAGATATGATTGAAGAAAGAATGATAAACTGAAAGTAGTCTGATATGATTGAAGAGAGAGAATGATAAACTGAAAATAGTCAGATATGATTGGAGAAAGAATGATAAACTGAAAGTAGTCTGATATGATTGAAGAGAGAGAATGATAAACTGAAAATAGTCAGATATGATTGGAGAAAGAATGATAAACTGAAAGTAGTCTGATATGATTGGAGAAATAGAATAATAAACTGAAAGTAGTCTTATAGGAGAGAGAGAATGATAAACTGAAAGTAGTCTTATAGGAGAGAGAGAATGATGAACTGAAATAGTCTTATAGAAGAGAGAGAGAGAGAGAGGACAATAAACTGAAAGTAGTCTTATAGGTGAGAGAGAACGATAAACTGAAAGAAGTCCGATAGGAGAGAGAGAATGTAACTGAAAGTAATCTTATAGGAAGGAGAGAGAGATTAATAATGATAAACTGAAAGTAGTTTTATAAAGTAGTGATGTGGTTGGTACATTATGTCCAGGAATCAAAGTCCAATAGTAATGAGGGGGGTGATTAAAAAGATTATAAATATTAAAAGGTAAAAGGATTAAGTGAAATGACTTACATATTTGGAAGGATTTAAATGTAACCCAGTACCCATTGCATCTTTACGTTTTTTCTTCAAGGATTGATCCGCTTTCTTGAGCTGTAATTCAGTTTGGTCCAAAATGTGATGAAAATCATCAATATCAGAATCACTATCTTCAAACTGGTTGATTGGAGGGAGCTGAAATCACGAAATAAATATGATTGTATTAACTGAAAAACCCTTCACAATACAAAGTTATTGAAAATCTCTTCAGAGTATAAATTAACAAGAACTATTTTATAAGTTGGCTATTGTGTTGTAGAACAGTGGAATAAATTAATATCTTTTTCAGTACTTTTGACGATAATTTCTTAGTTCTAGAAATTTGTCTTAGAAATGTACAATTGTGATTACTGAGAAGTGTCGTTGAAATTACTTATTCAAGGGAGAGAAGTAGCAGGAACTAGGTCATTTTGGGACTAACATATTTTATTTCAATAATTCGCTTATGCGTAGGAGTCTTCGTCTTTAACAGTGGTAGGAAATTGGAAGACCCAGAGAAAGGTTAGACAGATGACACTACTCCTTGTCACGTACAACCAGGGAATTGAAACCACAGCAGTTGACTCAATGACAGACCTTATGATGCAATGCGTATGCGCTAACCATTCGGCCATCCAACCCCCATCAGTATGGTAAATAGATTTATTTGGCACATACATATACAACATAGGTACAAATTTGGGGCCTCTGGCTGTGGCCTTACTATCACAGATTCTCTCAAGTGCGTGTTGACAAGTACATGTTGATCTGATCTCAACAACTAGATTCTATTCCTTGTCAGGCCCTGCAATACTGACAACGGGGGAAACCATGCCAGAAAGAGAGCGAGAACTAGGGTTTAACATCCACTTCACACAAACTATGTCATTTTGGGACTGACACATGGTTAAATTAAATTTCAATGATTCTATAGTGCGTAGAAGTCTTTAGCAGTGGGAGGAAACTGGAAGACCCGGAGAAAACTCACAAGGTTGGACAGGCGACCCTACTCCTTGTCAGGAGAATTAAAAAAACTCTTTCAGTCAATCCTAGGATGAAACCCAGTACCACCTGGTTAGTACACCAGCAGCATCATACTAACCAAGCCGCTATGTTTTTAAGATGCCATCTATAAATCGTCACTAAAGACATTTCAAATTGAAGTTTTCTTCAAGTTGTATCAGATTAATAATCTAATAACACATCGATTCTATAATAAAATTTGTTGCTATTGATATTCAGGTCTGATATGAAATTCAAAATAATTACATTTTTAACTTTTTTCTTCTGAGCATTAGTCTGTGTTGCCATGACATTATTGATTAAGCTGCCACTTGGAATACAGAATTCGTCATCAAATTCCATTTCATCCGTTGGTTCCCAGTGTAGTGGTTCTTCTGTTGGGTCCTCACTAGCAGTGGGATAAAGAGGGGCCTAAATAAAAAACATAAATTATATTCAAAGCCTCCATGTGACATATTTGCGGAAAAAATCAAATTTTCCACCATCTTAATCAACGCCATGTCCTTTAAAGATACATTATGCTAGATTTAGAAAAAGAGCTGGGCGTTCTTGCTATGAGAGAGAGAGAGAGAGAGAGAGAGAGAGATCATTTTGGGACTAACACATGGTTCAATTTTTTTCAATAATTCGCTTGGGCGTAGGGGTCTTTAGCAGTGGGAGGAAACCGGAGGACCCGGAGAAAACCCACGAGGTTAGACAGGCGACCCTACTCCTTGTCACGTATAACCGGGGAATCAAAACCATACCAGTTGACGGCGGCCAAGCAAATATTTATTGCTGATCAATTTGGTTTGGTACTACTCTTAAAGAATCAAATGACATAATTTACCTGATAATTATCCCAGGCGTTTTCTGAGAAGGAACCGGTACTATTTAAAACATCTTCATTTTCTGACGTAAATGGTTCTAATGGAGCGGTATCGTATTCATCTAAAATAAATATCATATCATGAAATACAACACAATAAGTAGTTTATAATAATGGAAAGAAATGATATGGGGATTAACATCTTACTCTTCTGTAACACCCAGACTAATGAAGACATGTTTATAAATAGAAAGGGTTTAATGGTTTCAAAGAACACATGTGTGTAATGTAAGGAAGAATTTTGCTCATTGCTAAGTGTCTTACTATTTTATCCATTCTGTAAACGGAAATTGGGCTTAACTCACAAAAATGGGAATGGGGCTTTAACCAACAACACACATATCTCTGGACACAAAGGAACAGTTTGACACATGGAAACTAGGCTTAACCCAACTCATGGGATGGGGGCTTTACCCAAATCATTGGATGACAGGGGCTTTAGCCAATACATGGGAAATCAGGCTTTAGGCAACACATGGGAAATGGGCTTTACCCGATACATGGGAATGGGGCTCTTCCTGGTACTCTGAAGTAGGCTTTACCCGACACATGGGAAGTGAGCTTTACCCAATACTTGGGAAGTGGGCTTAAGCAGATACATGAGAATGGGGCTTTACCCGATACATGGGAATCAGGCTCTATACAACATACATATCTCTCTTCAAAATTTAGAAGCCTGTCACATGTTTTCACATAGTTTAAGAGAAGTTTATACAGCCGATTTTGTTTTAAAAGTATCTCAATCAATAACTAAATCTACCTACCAGAAGTTTCTGTGTCAGATTCACTTAAACTGCTATTTCCACTACTGGCTTTTAATATTGCATTAGCGAATAACTCCGCAAAATTATCCTTCTGATTGATCGGGGTCAGTTCATCGTCTGTTCTTATAACACAAGGCACTACGTGATCCGTCTGTGATTCACAACAAAGGGTGGATTCCGAAGAAGGGTAGTGGAGTTTTCGCTTGGCACCACGTAAAGACGTGAACTCTGAAGAGAAGTTCCTACGCGTCTGCCGAGATTTGGTCCGATGACGGGGGAATGTTGAACAGCTTCCTTGACGTAAAGCGACATTACGCGATTGAGGAGTACCGGGAGAATCCGAGTCAGACAGATTGTTTGTTAATTTATCGATAGCACCGTCAGATGTTGAGAACTTTTTCACGTTCAACTGTTTTATTTCTTGCACTTCCATGAAACTCCAGGGTCTGTCTTTTCCATTGCGTGGAGAGAGGGTTTTATTCCTCAATTTCACGGAATCCATGGGTAAAATAGGGGAGAGAAGAGAAACACTTTCTTGACTAGCAGACGTATAATCTGAGCAAATGACGCTATCGACCATGGCATCGCCACCATCATCAGAAGCAGTGGAAAATTCTTCACAGGAACTTTCATTGTCTGTTTCCTCACCACTGGCATCACAGGACGTCTCAACAACGCTACTACTTTCTATAGGCAGGGTTTGCGTCTGTTTACTAGGAGATGTCGGGATCGTCTGCTTAATCTGGGGAACCTTCAATTCATGCTTATCAGGGGTTGAATGGAAAAACGGCTTCGGTGATCGAACTAAATCCTCAGCCTGGTCAATCAAGAGTTTTATTTTTTCTTGTGGTTCAATGCAGTAATCCGATTCCGACTGTTCGCTTGTAATGACATGGTTACCATTGGTTACAACTGGTATCGTCAACAAATCGTCATTGTCGACTTGCTTCAGAATATCCAAATTGGGGGCCATTTTCATTGGAGAGATATCAAATCCGTCTTGAAATTCCTTTAAGCCGTTCAATTGGTTGATTTTTTCGTTGTCACCAACCTCGTCGTTATCGGTCGTTTTATCTGTCGAATCGACGTCAACTGTTGTCATAAAATAATAAACAGGATTCAATGAACTATCTGTAATCTTCATCGTCTCATTGGCTAACGGACTGTCACTAGCTACCTGTACAAGTCCCTGGTAACGGTCCTCTAACATCTGTAACCGTAGTAACTCGGCTTCGTCGTTAGAATGACCCTCGCTACTGTATCCTACGTCTTTGCTTTCAATGCGATTTTTCGTTCGTTGCAGGATCTCTGCCTCTCCTTCACTGGAGATAATTTCATTGCTGTCACCACTCTGTAGCGATTCCTCCATCTTTGACTCCGCCTCACTTATGTTCGCGCTGTCCCCGCTACTCTTGTCCAAGAAGCTGGATTTTCCCAACGACAATCGTGCAATATCTGTCGGGCTCGGGGTGTCTCCAACCACGTCTCGCTGACAACTTATAAAGTTAAAACTGTCATCGAATTCTCCATAGCTACTATTGGTCGAGTCCTTTCCATTATCACTGGCAAACGATTCCTCCAAACATGGAAGCCGGAAGTTTCCAAAATCAAGTCCAGACCCATAAATACCCTGAAAAATATAAAAAAAAAAAAAGAAATTATTGATAAATTCATCATCTTTCATTAATCATTAGATTCCACGAATCACTTATCATTACATTCTCTGACCGAGTTTACACAAAGAAAGTTAATGGATGATCAATGATTTCTACCCAATATTTATTGGGGATACTCGATTGAACGTTCCAGAATCAAATTCCCTCAATTCCAAAAATAGTGTCAATCGAATGAAAAGCAGAATTTCGGAGTACAACGCATGTGCCGACTGCATAAAAAATATCTCAACCAATCATGACAGCTGAAACATATTTGTTACTTGAAATACGTCACAATTCTACTCACATCACCTCAGCTATCGGGACTGGCAGAACTGTGATTTGGCTGAATTCAATATCCCTTGATTGCAATTCTGTCAATTTGGGATGTTTCGGACTGACAATTGAGAACCCCCCAATTGTGATCATGTCTATGCATCAAATTGATAAACGCCGTTAGATTCAAACATACACATTGATAAGTAGGAAATGAAATGATATGAAATTGGGTTTAACGTCCTACTATTCTGCTCCGACCGGGCTAATGAAGACAGGCATACACCATACAGTGTGCTATGAGCTAAGTTTTGCCTGGGCAGCGGCACTATGGTCTACTATTACATCGAAGTTCAACTGCCAAGGGATCTTTTACATGCATGCCGATGTATACACAGGATCTCGGTTTTTCATCCCATCCAAAATACTAGACAGCTGTCCTTGTCAGACCCTCTGTCCTGCACCATTGACAAAGGGAAACCACGTCGGAAAAGCCTGATGAACTTTCTCGGCCAATGCAGGGATTGAACACCCGAACTACAGGCTAGTGTCTTACCCACCACTGATAAGTATTCTTATTACAAAGCACATTGGTTCAAATATCAGTCACTTACTATATAAGTTATAGCAACCTAAACCCCCATCTTTTTTTGTCTTAGAATTTTAGTCAGTCAGCTAAAGAAGAATGCTAAGGTAACTACTTTTGATCCATGAAGTTTGAGATCAAGATGGCTTCTGATCACGACTATTTGATTTAATCTTCTTCATCTAAAGAACATTTTTCAGCCCTTAATTTTGATTTAATTCAAATAATGAAAATGTCTATTAGCCTTCTGGGGCATTGAGGGTTTAATAATATATAGCTCTGTCCTTCACGACCCTAACATACATAGAGTATTAAATACCCATGTTATCCCCCCTACTGTGTTAGTAGTTATTAACTGGTCTATATCCTTTAATACCCTTTGGTGACTATAATTCAGTATACAATAACACAGAGAGAGAAGTGGGGCTTAACATCAACTCAACACAAACTAGGTTATTCAAGACCAACATATGGTACAATTTTATTTCATTGTGTATAGGTGACTATAGTTCAGTATATTATAACACAGTGTTTTGAAATAGAACGATTTCAATATTCTGAGAACAACAGAATGGTTCAGTGTGTTCAAGGTACTGGGTTAAAGGGACAATAACACTCTTGCTGGCTTGAAAGCTCCGGAAAATAAAAAATAGCCTTATTCTAAGTACTATATGTGTTAGTGTCCTACCTGTTGTTTAAATTATCCATTAAATCCAATTTAACTTGTCCAAAGGGTTCAAAATTTTTTTTAAATCCAAGTCACATTTGAAAAGCTTTACGTCAGGCTTTTCAAATCATTTAGTTGAATTTTTCCAATTTTTTAAATTAGGTGTGTTAAGATAAAATTTGTATCATCAATTAATTGGAATATTGTAAAATAGTACAATTTGTTGACCAGAATAAAGATTGGGACATATTATTCAGTTACAACAAGAGTGGTATTGAGATTTTAATTTTGCCCCGGCAGCAGCATTTCAATGTCTTTAAATCAAACTATTTTGTCCTATTGAGAACGCAGTGCAATATTAATTTTTTTATTGTTTGGTTAGTGCAAGGAAGGAAGAGACTTTTTCCCCCGTACAGCGGCATTCCTAAATAATGTTTCATGATTCCTAACTGATATTCTTTTGCTCACCACTCCACTATCCAATAACGACACAAATTTTCTTTGTCAGATGAGTTACACGTGGGAACAGAGATTCCAAAATCCAAAAGTCTCTCTTGATTCCCAAAACATTAAAACTGTCAATCTCACTAAAATAATACTTTATAAAATACTAGACTATATTTTCTATTTATATCCATGATTTTAAAAAATAACGAACTACAGTTGACTGTATTAATCAAAAAAATAGCCCAATACTAGATTTTATTTTCTATTTTTATCCATGAGTTTACAAATAACGACTGTATTAATCATAAAAATAGTCCAATATTTGCTGTCCACCAACATCAAAGAGCGTATTAATACATGGTAAATAATATAAAACATATCTGCTCCAATATTCTCTAACAAAACCTTTTACTACATATCTCTAGTTCAACTTAATCATCAATTGCTTTGATGACCAGCAGACAGACATAATTATAATGCACACAATCACATCCTATTTACCAGAGAGAGAGAGAGAGAGAGAGAGATTTAAGTTCACTCAACATAAACTAGGTCATTTTGAGACTAACATTTGGTTCAATTTGATTTCAATAATTCGCTTGCTCATAGGTGTGTTGAGCTGTGGGAGGAAACCGGAAGATCTGAAGGTTGGACAGGTGACCTAACTCCTTGTCACGTACAACCCCGAAATCAAAACCATGTCAGTTATCTATATGACAGACCTTATGATACAACACGCACACGTTAACCATTCGGCCATCACCCCCCCTCCATTTATCAGTTAGTGGTTTATCATCTACTTGACACAAACTAGGTCATTTTAGGTCTAACACATGGTTCAATTCTATTTCAATACTTTGCTTGCGTGTAGGGGGTGTTGAGCATTGGGAGGAAACTGGAGGACCAGGAGAAAACCCACAAGGTTGGACAGGCGACCCTACTCCACGTCACGTTCAAGCTGGGAGTCGAAACCATGTCACTTGACTCAATGACTGAGCTTGCGATCTAACGTACATGCGTTAAACCATTCGCCCAATTTAAGCAGAGAAAGTTATTTGTCTTGTCTTCTTGGTATTGACATTACACAATCTCTAGAATTAATTTGCCCATTCACTCCCATCAATTATCGCTTTTTGTTACTTGAAATATTTCTGTAAATCTTAAAGGATGGTTTATGTCTTGATAAATAAATTAGCCTCTTGTTGGGTATCTTGAATAATGTTTTGTTTTTAATAAATCTTAAAACTTAAAAACTGGGAACTAAAAGGTTTTGAAAGAGAAACCAAGTATTTTTTGTTTTCATATTATTTTTTTTCACTGATTAAGAAATGGGTGAGAGAGAGAGAGAGAGAAAGAGAGAGAGAGAAGGAGCGAGAGAGACATGAACGTCAACTCAACACCAACAAGGTCATTTTGAGAGTAACATATGGTTCAATTTTATTTCAATAATTCACAGGCAGTGGGAGGAAACCGGAGGACCCAGAGAAAACCCACGAGGTGGTACAGGTGACCCTACTCCTTATCACATGAAGAAATAAGAATCAAAATTTGTCTCATGAACAATGTTTTGTTTAAAATCTTAACTCAAAATTAAAAACTTTTGAGAAAAGCATCCAAGTACTTTATGTTTTTTTTTAATTATTTGTTTTTCGCAACAAATAAGAAGACAAATTTGAATAGTCGTTCCGAAAAACAAAAATTCAAATTAGTGAGGCACGACTTCCTTTTCTTCAACTAAAAAAATTAACATCAATCTGACACGAAGACATGATTAACAGGGATCTGTGTTTCAATGGACGTCAGATTTACAAATCAGTACTAAGCACCCCAGTCACAGCCATCGCAGATTTGGGTTTTTTTATACAGAGTTATTTCAGATTGTATTGACTTAAACCTACAGATCAGTCTAAAGAATTTACTAATCAATCTGTCTAGTTGGCTTTTGTTAATGACACTTGTCACATCTCCAGTGCATTCTATGTCGAAATGACTACACAAAAAGTCATAACAATCATGACAGCTAAAAAACACAACACAATTTATATGGAATACAGAGAGAGAGAGAAATTGAGTTTAACGTCCACTCGACACAAACTAGGTCATTTCGAAACTAACATATGGTTTAATTTTATTTCAATAATTTGCTTGCGCGTAGGGGTCTTTAGCAGTGGAAGGAAACCGGAGGACCCGGAGAAAACCCACGAGATTGGACAGGTGACCCTACTCCTTGTCACGTACAACCGGGGATTCGAAACCACGCCAGTTGACTCAATGACAGGCTTTATGAAACAGCACGCACATGCTAACCATTCGGCCATCCAACCCCCCCTATATGGAATACAATCACTGGTTTATACACATTATATTACGACGTTTCGACAAGTATTTATATGGAATACAATCACTGGTTTATACACATTATATTACAACGTTTCGACAAGTATTTATATGGAATACAATCACTGGTTTAAACACATTATATTACAACGTTTCGACTAGTATATATATGGAATACAATCACTGGTTTATACACATTATATTACAACGTTTCAACTAGTATTTATATGGAATACAATCACTGGTTTATACACATTATATTACAACGTTTCGACAAGTATATATATGGAATACAATCACTGGTTTATACACATATAGTACAACGTTTCAACAAGTATTCTCTTATAGTTATCAAGTACAAATGATAAATTTTTACTACGTTGTCTAACACACTTATTAACTGCTTTAAACCAGTGATTATATTCCATATAAATTGTGTTGTGTTTTTTAATGCGCTCAATCACTAAATACCACTCAAGGATTATCATGACAGCTGTTGATGATGTTTTTAAAAATTTCTTTCATCACTTTTCCTTTTTTAATGATTTCTATTTCTTTTTTTAAACGTAATAATCAGTTGAAAATAATTTTTTAAAAAAATATTTTCATTGTTGGACTACAATTGAGAAAGCCATTAGGTTATACAAGCTATATCACCCTAC